ATCGTTAGAAAGAGCATGAAAAAAGAAAATTTTTGGCGCAAACCGGAAGTCGATCTGACCCCCCTGTCAAAAGTTAGGGGGGTCCAAAGGTTATTTAGGGGGTCCGTACCTTCATTTTTTAGAGTAGCTTCGGCGGCTCTTGGACATACCGTTTCTCTTTTCAAAGAGTCCTCGAATACCCCAAGTCTGATACCGAAGTCTTCATATTGCCCCCGGGCCACCACAGCCCCCCCGTAGGGGGGGATGGGCCTGTTACAATGAAACATTGCATTAAAATGCGAAAAGTCACAGAAGAGCTTCAAACCTAGCATCAAATCCGAGTGGAACTTCTTGCCAATGTTAACGCAAACGCAGTCTGCGACTTTAAAGTGAGTTTTCAAAACTCTTAGCCCCCTGCCCCCCCTCATTTTTGGTTGCAGAGCGGGTAAAAACCGGGAAATTCACTACAAATAATGCCCGAAACTAATGTCCAACTTGAGGAGGACCCTTGAAACGTTGCGATCAGTAGGAGCATTGAAATACAAGGACTGCCACCCCCTTAAAGTACGGAAACATCCAAAACACCCTTGCTGCCCCCCTCATTTCTCGTTACGGAGCGGGTAAAAACCGGGAAATTCACTACAAATAATGCCCCGGTTCTTACCAGCTCTGCAACGAAAAATGAGGGGGGCAGCGGGGGTTTTATGGATGTTTCCGTCCTTAAAGTCGGCGGCAGTTCCTGTGTTGCAGTTCTCCGACTGAGCGCAACGTTTCAAGGGTTCTCGTCAAGTTCTACAGTGGTTTCGGGCATCAATTCTGGCGATTTTCCCGGTTTTTACCCGCTCCGCAACGAAAAATGAGGGGGGCAGCAGGGGTGTTTTGGATGTTTCCGTACTTTAAGGGGGTGGCAGTCCTTGTATTTCAATGCTCCTACTGATCGCAACGTTTCAAGGGTCCTCCTCAAGTTGGACATTAGTTTCGGGCATTATTTGTAGTGAATTTCCCGGTTTTTACCCGCTCTGCAACCAAAAATGAGGGGGGCAGGGGGCTAAGAGTTTTGAAAACTCACTTTAAAGTCGCAGGCTGCGTTTGCGTTAACATTGGCAAGAAGTTCCACTCGGATTTGATGCTAGGTTTGAAGCTCTTCTGTGACTTTTCGCATTTTAATGCAATGTTTCATTGTAACAGGCCCATCCCCCCCTACGGGGGGGCTGTGGTGGCCCGGGGGCAATATGAAGACTTCGGTATCAGACTTGGGGTATTCGAGGACTCTTTGAAAAGAGAAACGGTATGTCCAAGAGCCGCCGAAGCTACTCTAAAAAATGAAGGTACGGACCCCCTAAATAACCTTTGGACCCCCCTAACTTTTGACAGGGGGGTCAGATCGACTTCCGGTTTGCGCCAAAAATTTTCTTTTTTCATGCTCTTTCTAACGATGTATCACATGATGGGGGTTGCCATTTGAAATTTTTGAGTTGCCCCCCGCCCCCCCTCCCCCTGGGGGGGTGAAGAACTGAAAAGTACCTCAAAAAGTTTCCCCCTCGACATGAGGAAGGACGCCACAAACCGCAAATCGATATCATAATTAGAACTAAAGTTATGGCCAGTGGTGCGTAACTTTTGAATAACCCTGTATGTACTTACAATCTTTAGATTTAGATGTGCATATACATCTTAAGAAAATAATCAGACAATAAATTGAAAAAGAAGGAAAAATTGAGTGTCAACACATCCGAAGATTAGAGAGACGTATTCAGGCCTCCTTTTTTAAAATTGCCTCTCGAATCCGAGTGACACCTCATCGGCAGCACAAAGAGGAGCATAGGGAGTTTACGCCTCGCGCCCTTGCGCCTTCAATTTTGCAGGTGCAACACGGACATCCATCAAGCACGAATAGTTGTATCTCTGCGCCGTCGTCAACGCGCGTCCTTTTCGTTGCACCATCGCATATTGTCTTGATTTCCGTTTGTCTTATTTGTAGTGGTGCTTCAAAAGCTACGTAAGCAACACAGTTGAGGATAGGAGAGACGCTTCCGGGCCTTGTTTTTTAATTTTCTCCCGAATCGAAACGACATTTTAAAGGCAGCATATAGATTAGAGCATTGAGAGTTCACGCATGGCACCATCGCGCCTTCAATTTTGCAGATACAACACGGTCATCCATCGAGTGCGAATAGTTGTATCTCTGCGCCGTAATCAACGCGTATTCTTTCCTTAGCTCTTTTTCCATGTTGTGCCGGTAGACCACGTATCTCAGTTTGCGACGTTGCAGACTTCCTCTGATATTTTATTTTTTAAACGGAGAACTACTCAATGTTAATTTATAAAAACTTCCTTGATTTTTCTTCTCTGTGAAAAGCAAATTTTGAAAAAACTTCAAGGAATGATGCTGTTTGGTTCTCCTTTAAAGAAATGAAATAGGAGCGGAGATTTGTCAGTGTCGCAACGAGATACGTAGGTTGCTCTTTAGTTTCACCGTCAATATACAACGTGTATGGTATTTGATCGATCGGAGATGATTAAGAGATGAATTAACTCTTAGATGCCCAGGCCGGGTAATATTGACCCGAGGCTTGGTATAAACACCAGTAACGTGGCGTGAATTGCGATGTATCGATTGTTCTCCCATTTAAACTCATGGTAAAGAATCGATTATTAAGGTGTTCGGTGCGGACACCCTGTTTATCGATCCTTTTCCATAGGTTTAAATGGTATAAAAATCGATATATCGCAAAGCACGCCACGCTACTGATAAACACGTGCCCCGCGGGTTGTATGAGGTCGGTAAATACGAACTTTAGATGCAACAGGTCTACAAGTGCATCGTAAAAAAGATTCGGACATCAAATTGAAAAATAATTTTAAGAAAGAGGAAAGTCGAGCGTCAAGGAATTTTTTTTAGCTTTGGTACGTCTATGAATGCATCCTAAAATGGATCAGACATCAAAAGGAAAAAGAAGAATAAAAACGAGTGTCAATACAGCCGCAGATAGGAGGGACGTATTCGGGTCTCATTTTTTAACATTTCTCGCAAATATGATCGATACCTCACTAGCAACATAAAGCGCAGCATAGCGAGTTCACGCTTCACGCCATGGCGCCTTCAATTTTGCGGATGCGACACGGACATCCATCAAGTACGAATAGTTGTATCTCTGCGCCGTCAACAGTGGCTTCCTTTCTCTTGCTTCATCTCCATATTGTGTTGGATCTGTTTGTCTTGGTTGTGGTGGTGCTTCAAGGACTGCGTGAGTGACACAACCGAAGATGGAAGAGACGTAATCCATGATCATTTTGCAACTTTTCTTCCAAATCTGAGTGACACCTCGGTGGTGGCATAGCGCGGAGCATTGCAAGTTCACACCTCGCGCCATCGCGCCTTCAATTTTTCGTATATGCAAGACGGACATCCATCGAGTACGAATAGTTGTATCCCTGCGCCGTCATCGGCGTGCGTCCATTCCCGCGCTCTTTTTCCATATTATGTGTCCTTCCATTTGATTTATTTGAGGTGGTGCTTAAGGACTACGTCCAGTAATACAGTCGGAGATTATTATCCTATTATACTTTATCCGGCCTCGTTTTTTAACTCTCCTCCCGAATCTGAACGACACCTCATTCGCAACATAGAGCAGGGCATTACACAATGGTCTGGAAGCGTCTTGTGACCAAAAATCGGGAGAACATCAGAATATCATGAAACGAGTACCTGTCATCTATTTTCAGGGTCGCTAAATTCGAATTTGACGTAAGTTTCACGGAGTTCTTAAATTCAAGAAGACGGCAGGCCCTGTAGAGGCCTTAGTTCCAAAAAAAAAAAGGGGGAGGGATTGTTAATGATTAAAATTCCACATTAAATGGTAAAACATTGTGTTGAGGGCCTCCGAACTAAAAATTGAAATTAATTTTGCGAAAATTAAAAGTTAGGAACGACTAATTGAAGAAAAAGTGAATAAAATTATCGTATTTGTGCTAAGTTTACACCATTTTTCAGACCGGAGTCTGTTGATCTTGGTTGGAGTATAATTGCTAAAAAAATTGTAGATTTAAAATGGTGGTATGAAAGACATAGATGCGCGCTTAAGGGAAAACACCGGAGGGGAGGGAGTCCAAGTTGCTTAAATCCCCTCCTTCCCGAACCAAAATTTCCCCCAAAAAAGTCATTTATAGCGCTCTGCTGAAAAGTCGTTTCTTAATCTAGAAATCACTTACAAAATTTAATACATTTTTATTAGGTACTGAATTGTTGGTTTTATTTAATTTTTACTTCATATTTCTTCAATTTTACTTCATATTTCTTCAATCATACTTCATACTACTTTTCAAGTTGTGTCTATTTTCCTTTTAAAAAATCATTTTTTTTTTTGCTTTGTTTCTCAGTTGTTTATTAAATTATCTAATTTTACTTGCATACCTTTTTATTTCATATTTTTAAATGCCTACAGGTACTGATCAATGGTTGAATCTCTTCCCCTGTTAGTCCCTCCTGACCTGATAACCCTGATAACCGTTGCAAGATCATCAAACTCGGGTTGCCTGGTCGGAAACCGAACTTAAAACCTCTTGATTACGGGGCCAGCATTATAACCACTTCACCACATGAGGCTGCGCCAGTAAATTTGTACATGTATAAGCTTGAGAATTAAAAAATGACTGTTTTTTATCCATTATTCATAATTTTTCTGACAAGAACATTGCAGAAAATGCTTTTCCCACAAAAAAACTCAATTTTCCCGAAAACTGGTGAGTGCTGGCAAGAAACAAAAATCATTTTCGGATTCAGCAGTCAAAAATGCATAAGAATCACCCCACAGCAAACGTTGCCCTTGTCTAATCTCTCTCATCAGTTTGCACAGTAAAATCAGACCATAACTCTATAAGTAGTGACTGTAAAGGCTAATATTTTATCTTTAGACCAATCTGCTTGTTCATTAAATCCTACGTGTTTTGGTAAGTTAATACATTAACGTTGAATTTTTTCTGCAATCTGGAAATGTTCGTAAACAAAACAAAAAACAAAATTTTTATCAACAAATTCGCAATTTATTTTAAAATGCAACTCAAAGTTTTGATATAAAAGAAGCAGATGTTGATATAAAATCACAGATAACTTAGAAGACCTCTTACAGTCGTCAAGAAAGATACAAGAGGACTCAAACTAAAGAAGTTGGATAAATACAGGGAGAAAAATTATTGAATCATTCAAATGAGGTGAAGGACAAGGAATAATATTTAGATCATCGGAGGCAAAACCAGTAAATCCACCCAAAAAATCCATCGCAGATGAATTTTCTGTGTATAGATGTATCATAAATGAATAATTCCAACTATCACAATAACTAAACCTTAGTGCACATGATAGTGGTTGACCTTACTCAGTTATTTTGTTGGTATAGTTCATCGAGTCTAAATGGAATAGAAGTATTTATCACTTGATCACATGGTACAAAAATAGGTTAAAGTTTTCATAGCAGCAACAACGCTAACCTTGAGGGCACATCAGACTGATGAGTACAGTGGAAGTAAGTTCAGCTGCTGACTGATGGTTGAAATTTTTTGTTCGTTGGGATGACATAGATGACGTATGTTAAAAGGTGGAGCGTCATCAGTCGGCTATATGTCTTATCGCTGCTTTGTCGTGCCTATGTCGGGTTTAACTCACGACAAGCTAACGGCACGTCTTAAGTTTCCGACAGAATGTCCTCCATTCCACCTGACAAAAGCACGACACAGCAGCAATAAGACATAGCCGACCAATCACGCTCCACCTTTTAACCTATGTCACCTATGTCGTCCCGACAAACAAAAAAAATCAACAATCAGGCTGCAGGCAGAAACCAAGCCATATTGACAGTAAGAAAATGGGGTTATAAGTTTTGTTCCTCCGCAAGACTTAATATTTAAAACACAGTTTCAACAAGATTTTCACATTAAAAATATACATTCTGAACTTTAGAGAAAAGGAGAACATTTGCAACTGATAGAGCTCATAACTCCTCTCCACTCATTATTTTATTGTGTGGCTTGGTTCTGATTCAACGCATTCAGTCTGATGCTCTACTACTTTCTAGACTTAACTTACAATCAAACCCTTATAAAATAACCATACTTAACCCGTAGATTATGAATTGCAGTAAAAGTAGTGAAAAGTGGAGAGAAATAGAGATCAAGCACACTTTCTTGTAAAAATAAAATTGGACAAGGCACTTATAGTTCTTACAATTTAACAAATAAATGCTGTTGTTTTGCTAAAAGCTAACCTTTGATGATAATTGTTTTGATAAAACGGTGAGAAATAAAAGAGCCTCAGCAAAATTTAATCATGCTTGGTCTCTATAAAGGCAGAGGAGGTAGAAAAAAATAAAAGAGGTCTGTTTAAAAATATGAACAAATGGCATCATGCTAAAATGACGATACTTCAAGAACTGAAGTTGTCGGAAAACAATAAAAAATTTATTCCCACCACTGCTCTCAAATGAAATTGGCAAATTAGGTTAAAAAGATTCAACTTGAAAAATTCTTCTCCCCCATTCAAGTATGCATTAACTCTTCATGATCGCTACATAATCAAAATAAAACACAAAATCATTAAAAGTGGATTTTAGTCAAAGTAGCAAGACGCCATTTGAGGTATTAATACCTCTGCTTTAACTAAGTTAAGTTTACAAAAGTTGATTCAATGATTGGTGCCTTACGAGTAAAGATGAATAAAAGTGGAATAAATAATTGATGATATAATCGAAAAGGAAAAACTTCATTAGAAATTAAACTGAAATGGTACGAATTAAGAAAAGTAAAGTAGACCCCTTTAAAAATTCAACATCACTTCCATAATAAAAAACTAAACAAGGAAAAGAAAACCTACAAAAAAAAAAAAAAATAGAACAAGACAGTGTATGGGGACAATCAGAATCAATATAAGGAAAAACTATTCAGGCTAATGCGTACAAAATAAAACAGATAATGGTTAAACACACGAGTCCTTGGGACAAGAGAGTTGGTGATTTTTCTACATGGAAAAATTGGGCTCATAAGAGCAATTTCTCCTTGTGATGAAAATTTCTGTTATACGCTGAATTTTAACTCACATTGGCAAAAATCACCAACTCTCTTGTTAAGGCTAACAGTATTTAACAGGAATATGATGAATTGAGGAAAAACTTGAAATATTTTCCAGTTTGCAGGTACACATCAATGTACAAAATTTGATTTTATTGAGGTCCAAAATGATTCCAAAATTACAGGTCATATGCAAACCACTAATAACTTGACATTTTGACTAAGCGTTTTGATGTAGTTATAATTTTCAAGTTTTTTTCAAATTACTTTGTGATCGAATTTTATCCATGGAAACCTGACAAACTTGAAAATTTTCAAGCACAAAGGGATTTTGAACCAAGATATTAAAATTTTAAATTCCTCAATATAATGTGACAGGCTCTGTGAAAAGGTGCCTTATTTTCTAAGACCCTTGACTCACTTTCAAAGGAGGAAAATACTGCAAAAATGATAAAATTGGTGGAATTTGTTTTGGAAATTGGTTGGAGAAGACGCTCCCGGGCAGTTCCAAGAACAAGCTACATACATATATTATAGTAGCTCATTTTGATTACTACAAAGGGTTATATCAATGATTTCTGAATTTTTCTATTTATTACTTCAGACTTAACTTGTTGGGTAAGTTTATCTCAAAATTTTGGATTTGTCAGCTTTTAGCCTTCAAACATCATTATCTTCCTACATATTTAGATCCATACCACAGAACTAGATGCTGATGTTCGCCTGATTTTCCATCAAATGATGATATCAATAACTCTACTGTGGCGATTAGAAAATTAGGAGCCCTTTCAAAGAGCCAATCGAAAGGAGTGAAAAAAGTATGTGCATGATCAGAAACATCATAAAAATTAAATTAATTTTTTTCTTTCTTTTATATTTAGTTTTTGAAATACTACATGCACTACCTTACTATCTTATACGATAAGACGTTGAGATAAATGCTTAAATAACATGAAAACACAGCCTATTCATCATATGGATCAATAGAACAGATCAATGCGAGGTACTGACAGTTGCATAAAATTAATCAACTATCAAAAAGATTTAAAAAAAAATATGGCTTTAAAAAAACTGTGGAAAGAAATCATTAATATGTCACAGCTTATGTAGAATATGCTTTGAGGGAAAAGAAAGATAAATTACTCTATGCTGAGGATTTGTTAGTTTCTTGATTTGTAGATTCTTTAGACAAGAAAACAATTGAACTCATCCCTAGAATACGTGTGTAACAGCAATTTTTTTCTACAAAAAACAAAAATTGGCTGAGTCACATCCAATCCTTTACCATGTGTTCTAAAAAGTTCTGTCCAACTTCAAAGAGAAAGGCTTGAGAGATACTTCTCAGGGTTTCCCTTTAATATTCATGACAAAAAGGAAAGCCAAAGGTTTGTCAAGCCGCAAACATTGCTTAATATACTTTTCTTGTTGTTCTGTACGATGCTTCCAGCAATGATTCAGCCAAAAGAATTGTTCTTCCAAAAATACCGTTCAACTTGATGAAGAAGATGAAAAATACTTTCAGCACCAACACTTATTAAGTTGAACAAGATTTCGGAATAGAGGCTAAATTATTGCTGGGAAAATTGCACAGATCAACAGGAAAATTATATTAGTCCAAGTTTCTAGTGTGAGAAACTTTGATTTGTTAGGTTTTTTGATGATAATATGTACATGAAAATCCTACAAACATCCTAAGGAACTTACTTTCTCAAGCTAAACAGACATTTCAGAATACATCATGAGTATATTACCATAACTCAACCAATTATGGTTCGACAAAAACCACAATTACATCAAGGTATTTAACAGGATTTCAGCCTTTCCTTTTCATAAAATTTTTTTTAAATCAATTAAAGACTGAAAAACTACAGCAGTCAAAGTAATTTACCTGATCAATCTCAAAGCTGTTTGATAAACTCCCATCAGTACAGAGAGGCGTTCTACCTGAGATTAGAGGAATGCATACTTTTTACAGAACTGAGCGATGGCAAAAATTAATTGATTAGGCTTCTAAACTTTTCTTCAAATATACAGGCAAAATATTGCATGACAAGTGTTGAACACAAAAAAATAGAACTTCAAAGCAACTGTAAAGTGAAAGAAAAAATGTTGCCTCAATTTCATAAGTTTGGTTGACTTATACATACACACCTTGATATCAAGATGGACACTAAATTTAATTTTTTATGACAGTCTTGATTACACAGTGGAACTTGGATCACTTCTACTTTGAAATTAATAGGACATGGTAGTTGGAATTGCTCCCTGCAAAAATCCAAACTGCTAACATTTTTTCAAAAAAATTGAACTAAAACTTCATTATGGGAACGAAAGAGGAAAACAAATTTAAAAAGACAGAAAAAGACAGATAGTGCAAGAGGATGATCGACAGACTAGAGGGACCGAAAAGGCATTTGATGCTCTGTTACCACTGTTCACAGCAAGGCTTAATTTTCTACTGAGGCCACAATCAGGTTTCATCACTTGGAGACTCCGGTATGCATGGATCCCAAAATCCTAAAAAAAAGAGAAGATTAAAATGAATAGGGTTTTCAGAGGTATCAATAACCAAAGGAAAATAATATTGAAAACAAAAGGAAAAGAAGAGAAAAAGATTTAGGGTTTCATATCAAAATATTAAAATTGGACGTCCACTGCGCTAATTGTTTATTCTTTAGACAACTATCATCCTGTTATGATCAGTATTCTCTGACTATAACCATGACAAGGCAATTTTATTTTTTTATATATTTACACTTTTAACCGCTCAGCCAATAGGCAGCGCTTTTTGATTTCGACTTGCCTCTAGAGTACTAGTATACTAGTGCTAATTCGTTTAAATGGCGCACCAGCTCATCGATGTGTAGGCTTTTTGGGGGGGTCCATTTTTAAAATAAATAAAGCTGTGAAAACTGTATTTTATGCTTTTAACGTAATGCGCAGGTAATTTTGATCGTTTGTCTATTAGAAAATTTCTTAGCGGTAGAGTAATTCTTATCGAAATTGATCGTTGAACTTAAATGAAGCATAAAAAACCGCGCCTGATGAGCTCAACGGTGGCTATCATTTTCAGGAAACGAAAAAACGCGTTCACAGTTTCCTTGGTAACCTTTGTTTGCTATCAGCTGATGTTATATTTCCATTTCCCAGCCAAGTCGACAGAGTTTATACTTCCTTTCTTCACTAAATACATTTACTAACACCTGAGCGCTTTTCTAATACGACAGTATTAGAACTTTCCCGCTTGTTTTCACTTGAAACAAGAAAATTGTATCAAAATCTATTGATGGACAGATGTAGAGCCTAAAATATACTGGAACAAGCTGCAGGGGTGTACCACAAGTTTTGACGCTCCAATGAGCACCAAACTTATCTACACCCAAATACTTGAGGCCAACGAAGCTACCATTTGAATGGACCACTAGACAAGGTACGAATTTCAGCATTCTGATACATGTTTCCTAATCAAAATTTCACGTAGAACACGATACGCACAACGAAAATTACCGAAATCAACTCCTTACGAAGATATTTGATGATTCTTGGTAAGTGAATTCAAACCACCCGCTCATGAAAACTCAATGCTCTACGTGATTCACATCGTGTGCTAAACGTTATCATAAACGTCTCAGCGATATAAAAATCTGGCAACCTCAGTCTTGACGCTTTGGCTCAGCTATAGCAAATTGCTTAGTTTGAACAACACATGGTGGGAAATGAACATTGGTCGATTGAGAAGCTTGCTGAAACCATTGTAGTGCGCGATTTGACTCACGTAGAGCTTTAAGTTTCTTGTGAGCAGCCAGTTCAAATTCCTCGTAACTGATGTGAAATAAAAACGTTAATATCTTCGCTAAGAGTTGGTCTCAGTAACTTTTGTTGCGCAAATCATGTTCTACGTGAAATTTTGGTCCAGAAACATGTATTAGAATGCTAAAATTCGTACTCTGTCTAGTGGTCCATTCCTATTTAAACTGACAGGAACTAATGACAAGAAAAATGTCACGATCGATTCCTTTTGCTTAAAGAGTCCGATTTTCTTCACATTTCCTAAGAAGAATTTTAAGCACGCTGGAAGTTGAGAGAATAGAATTATTTACCTCAGTGTAAACAGAATGAGGATTGATGAAGAAAACGGCATATTGCTTGTACATGAAAAGTTATTGTTCACGATCTGATGTGATTGACCAAAAGAAGCTTGAAAAAAAGAAGGCTGAAACCCAATTCTTTTCTAAAAAGGTAGACTAACCCAGCGAAACATGTGCAAAAACGCTGTTACAAAATGACATTTGGACAACCGTTTTGCACACGTTTTGCCAAGCAAAGGAGTTGTTAAACACTTCATAATTGAAACAGATACATAAATGATTGGCATTGCTTTTTTTCCCTGAAGGAGACATGATAAATATACATGTATATACATAATGCTCTTGTTTCACTTCATGAAAATGAACCATGAATTAACATTATAATGAATTTTGTCACTTCGCTACTCAAGAAGCGAAGAAGAATGATAAGACTGAAACTGACCTTTAACTGTTACATTGAGATCCTTATATTTGCTGCGATGACGTGAACATTTATTCATAAGCTCCTGTGGATCTTCACCATTTCTGACACCCATAGCATAATACTGGATAAGTAACAGAAAAAAAAAAAAAAAATATTACTAAATTTGTGCTGTATGAAAAATATGGAAAAAGGAAGATCACAGATTACAGATAAGTATGGTTTAATAAGTAATTAATAGTTGGCCTGGGCTGGAATTTGATTGAACATGGGAAACTGATGGAAGGGAGGAGTTGTAATGAAATTTTAATTTTACCTTGGCACAATCGTCACAATCCCAACCAGGTAGTTGTTGTCTCTCATCTCTCTTTCTGACCGGGTCCTCTTTGTACTTGTATGTTGGACTATTGGTTTTTCTGGGTACACTGTGAACAAAGCATATATAGTGAGTAATAACCAGTAAGAAATTAAAAATTGCAGCATCAAAATATGGCCCAGCAAAACCGGTCAAGACTCGAGGTTTCGAGGGATAATTTTTGCACCAGTGTGAATGTATGATTCATGAAACATTAAACTTTTAGAAGAGGGCCAAAGCTTTCATTTTATTGCACAAGTATTTTGGTAAAGCAACCTGTGCTACCATCAGCAAGAGTTGAATCATAGACAATACTGAGTGTCAATGAATATTTTACAGTACTTTTCGTTAACACTGACTATCATTTATAGAAATTACGAAGACTTGTAGGAAAAAACTTAATCTCTTAATAGCGCAGGACCTATAAAATAAGGTCCATAGATGCTCAATAATTTCAAAATGAGAAGACTAGAGCTTGCGTCAAATAGGTAGACACTCATTTACTTTTGCGAATCTTTGGCAGAGGACAGTTTCATATATTTACACACAGAAAAATTGTTGCCTTTAGTCAACCATTGATTTCTATTGGAGGATGGTAGCACAACTTTTCTGATTCAAGGTCTATATACTCAGGACAAAAACTAAGTTTAAGGCATCAATGATGGAGCTGTTCATATTGATGGGAGGACATTATTTTCTTTTGTCCTAAGTAGTTGTATGTTTCTTAGTTTTAGTCCCACTTGATGTACTTTTTAACCTGTACAAGTAAAACAGCCATCTAAATTAATTGAGGCTCATGTAAATTAAGTCAATTTGAGCACACTGTTCATCTCTGCGCTTTTTTGGTTGTTGATTCGATTGGAATCTGAATAAGTTAGAATTATTTTCAATAAACTTACTGGTCAAAACTTGTGTCTAAATTCTGAATCTTGCTCCTGTCTTTCCCAGGTTTTTGTTCTGATTTCTCCTCATTTTCAGGCTTGTTCCGTCTTGAGAGAGAGAGACATGTGCTTGTAATGGGCGGCGCAAAATAATAAGTCTCTTCAAGACTTGCTAATGTTCCAGTTCTCTGCTCGATGACACTATAAAAGAATCACATAAAACATAAATAGCAGATACAAACAATATCTACATACAGTGGTGCTAGTGGTCATGAACTGAGACTTGTGGTATCTACTTTAGGCACTGCGATCTCTCTGGCTTTCTTAATGCCATGAAGAATTTTCTCTTTTAATGTGCTACAAGACTTTGTTTCAAACATACTAGATTAAAGAATTTTACAGAGCAAGAAAGCTCTACTGGCGAGAGGCTTCTTTGTACAATGATAGCACTATTTTCTTAAATATTTAATGACAGATTTTACACATACGCATATTAAATAACTCAATGGTTAGGTTTGGGACAGTTTTTTACCTGAGAGCCCCATCAATTATCGCTCAGATAGAAAATTAATTTTACTAAAAGAAAACTGATTGTACCCTATACCAGATTTGAAGTCATCACAGCAGCTATAAACAAGCAAAAGTCATCAAAATTCTAAATGAAAATATCGTATAGTATTGGAAATATTTTGCACTGAGGTGATGATAAAAGTTGACTAAAGATGAAAGAAAAAAGCTCATTAGATCCAAACTAATCTAGGAAGACTTACATGCTTTCAGCTTTCAATTTTTTGCTTTCACATCTAGACGAGTTGCGAGTGTCATTCTTTGGACTTGGTAGAATCAAACACTCACTATCATCAGAGTCATCGTTTTCATCATTCATAACTTCAGCCAGTACGCCACCATTGAAACTATCATTATGCGAAACGTCCTGATTCTTAGGTACTGTGACAACAGATAAAGTTGTTTGCTTCATTTTCTTGGGGCAGATTTTTTCCTCTTTTTTCTTTTGATCAAAACCAGGAGGCTTGTGTAAAGACCAGACATTTTTTTCTCCGAGTGCTAATTTTTTCTGAGGAGTTATAATATCACTTTTAGCCTTAGACTTTTCAGTGCTGCTTTGTTCTCCAAGTGCTAACTTTTTCTGAGGAGTTATCATATCAGTTTTAGCCTTAGACTTTTCAGTGCTCGAGACTTTTGAGTTGTCTTTGCTATAAGTCTTGCTTCTCCTCGAGTTACCAGCATTTTTGTCGATTTCATCAAAGAACTCATCCAACACTTTTCGATCTTTGGATTCAAGAAGAGGGTGAATTGATGGATTTTCTTCGACGGCCAGCACTGAGGGACTTTTAGGATGAGCTGTTAACGGAGATATTTGCTCGTTCTCTACAGTTTCGAGCTCTTCTTCTTTGACTTTGAGTTCCTCAGCCGGTGCACTGATCAATGGTTTTCCAGGTTTTTTTGATACACTCAGAACAGGGCTGTTATCTTCTTCACCGTTTGTTGGCTAGAGGAGACAGAAATTTCAGTCATTAGACAAACCGATTAATACAAACATACAATAGATATGAACATATGATGCATATTGCAGATGAATCATTCCAGGTCAACAGCGCCGTCAAACATGGATAATTTTATTCTGATTCCTTAGCAGTCACAGAACTTATGTTTTATGTAACTTTCATTACTCTCGTTAAGCCATCGATAAGAAGGAAGATATATCCATAGTGATTGTCTAACAAAGTAGAGAGAACTTTTCATTAAAAAAATTATCCACCACATGAACGTCCAATCCACTGTCAAAAAATCATGAGCCCTTAAAGGGAAATGAGGGGAACAGTAAGAGATTATAAGGAGATGGAATAGTTCAACAAAAGCTGATACAGAAAACTAAGGGAGAGAGTCTTCTTGTCACTGCAATGTCCTGGTAACTACGGAACAATGGACAGAGAGCTGTTGCTCTCTATTTCTCCATCTATCAGAGAGACAAATAAAGCTCCTGATATCCACATACTATTTAATCATTTACACACCTTCAACCAATGTTGAACATCAGGACTGAACTTTGGGGTCACCAGGTAAATAGATCATAGAAAGGTGAGACTGAATTTTGATGAAATGATGAAAGACCTCGACAAGAAGTTCCCTGAAATTTGATGGATCTTTCCACAAAAGAACTAATTCATTTGACTGTTTATTCATTCCTATTAGCCTGAACTTTAGATCATGGATACATGAGTAACCAAATGCAACTCATATTAGAATATCACTCTAACATATAGCATGTCTCTGAACGGAGGTGTAATCATGATGAAACTGAACCTAAAAAAAAAATTCTGGACAGATCCAATGCTGGCAATTATTATTCTATGGAATGATGATCAAATGGATCTTGCTTTGAGCTGATATTTTTTAAAAAAAACTAACCTCTTTTTTGGGTGTTTTATGCTCCTCAGACATCGGTTCCACAAAATCATCTTCTGGATATAAAGTCTCAGGAATAATAATTCTTTTCTTCTCCACAACTGGACAGATTGGCTCACTGGGCAGTGTTTCGGGCACGATAATATTATATTTATTCAGACCTTGTGGCTCTATTTTAACTTCAGGTTTCTTCACCGGCGCCTTCTTGCTACTGGAAGGTTTACTTGTGAATTTTGAATCTTCTTCGTTTCTTCCTTTTGTTTCAGCAGTTTTTTGCGGCAGATGGGACACAGGCGGTTCCATTGATTCTCCTGTCTCAACGCAGGGAGATTTACGCTTCCTACTCCCAGGATTCAATTCTACGTCAGAACAAGGAGACTTTCGTTTCGGTGTATCAACAGTAGCCTTTTGTTGGAGAACGCTTTTGCTATCAATGCTATCTTCAGCTTCATCTTCGTCAAATGGTATCATTTGAGACACATAGCTCATGGCAGTGTTGCATTTTTCTTCAGAGAAAAGACGAGATTCAAGGAAATTGTTAACTGAAAAAATGGGAGCATAAAAAAAATTTAAACATTTTCCTGCACCTGATATCACAAGACATTATGAGAGAATGAAATGAATATAACAGTTACTACCTTTAACACCTCACAGCACTCACGGAGCACATGGGTGTTTGTATACATAACAGGTCAAAATTTACACGGACAGCCTTTTCAACGATACTCTTGCCATAGTTGCTGACCGTCGTATTAAATGCACTAACTAACTATCTGTTAGGTGATATTGAAATATTTGTTGCTAATGTGCAAAGAGTACATATTCAGGAGACTATTTCTAGATTCTGAGTACAATGCTAGTAGTATGTTAACACACAAACCAGGGATTTTTGGTACGTTTTCCATACTTGTGCTCACCTTTCAAAATTCATCCTTTATTCTTACTATAGACACCCTGCTAAAAAATCATTTGCCTACTCACTGCGTCATACTTGCTCACCTTACAAAGATACATACTCAAGAAAAATATTGACGGTGAAACTCTCAAACCACGTATCTCAATTGCAGCGCTTTAAAATGTCCGCTACCATTTTTTTTTTCAATACAATTCATTATTATTCCTTGAAGTTTTCACACAATTGTCTTTGCATAAAGACAAAAAGTCACGGAAGTTTTAAACAATACATGTCGAATAGTTTTCCACTTATAAAATTAAGAATGATTGGAAGTCTGCGATGTTGCAAACCAAGATAGGTACATGGTTTGGGAGTTCAACTGTCCATATTACTTAAGATATGTCTTCAGCTTGATGGGGTACTATTAGGAGGATTTGAATGAATTTTTCACATCAGTATACTTACAGGCACGTCTCCATTTTTCTTGTTTCTCTTGATAAAATTTTTTATTGTTCCTGAGTTTAATATGCAGTTGTTTACATTGAGAGCAAGGTTTTGTTTTTTCTGCTAGCTCTTCTTTGAGGGAAGCCACCTGCAATTGAAGGTCCGAGCATTGAGAACATTTCTTTGCCTTCTCACTAGAACAAAAAACAAAAAAAGGAATTGCAATAATAAAAACTGGAATTAACTGACAAAGAAAAAGGAATGAATTGATAGATTGCCTGGGAGTATGGTATTTGTCTAAAAATTACTCACCATTTGAAGGAATTTCCTTTTATTAAATACGCATGCATATTACAGTTGCCTACAAACTGAGGAGCTGTTCTACTAAAAATAGACAGGAATTGGATTGGTTCTTTTTCTACATACAAAAATTCTACTCTCAGTTGAAAATTTTAAATTTATTTTTTTCTTATTCATTTATTTTCTCTCTTTTCTTTTTGTGGAGTAATATACTTGGATTAATAAAGATAATACGCTATTGCAGTAAGAAGCAAACTGAAGAATACTGACCTCAATAGAGCTCTTTGTAATTCAGAACACTTTGTGTCAAGAAGAGAGCGTTCTTTGGCAACAGTGAGCAACGAATTTTCAGCAACACGACACCGATCAGCAAATCCTAGAACAAATAAGGAAGGTTTCTTTAGCGTCAAAAGATATAGAGACATCGACAAATTTTAAAAAAGCATTGAAAAAGTAACAAGAAAACACGCATTTGTTGCTTAAAAATAAGTCAACTTATTATTAGTCATCTGACTAATACTACCATTTCAAAGGTAAAGATGTAAGAGGCAAGATTTTGGTCTCATTTTGAAGACCAGATCCTCAGCTATCAATTGAAACCGTGATAATCTCATTTGCTGAAAAACAGACTAATTTGGAGCAATTTTGGTGAAAGACTACATGCTGCAAGCTGAGAGTTTTCAACAAATATTTCTTCAGTAAAACTTTACTAGAATCACTTATTTAGGACACTCTTGTTCCTAGACATTACTTGAAAATATCAAATTGACATTGCTAGACTTTCCAAATAGATGATGCAATTCGAGTTGAATGAAAATTGAGTTTAACACTAGGTTGAGAGATCTTCGGTTAGAAAATTTCAGAGGGATTAGATCAAATTATGGCCTAAAAAGACTTTAAGTATAGATCTGATTGCCCTTTCTTTCCAAACCTATAGATCCACCAAAAAAAGCATCCTCACAATGCATCAAATTATTCTTTAACGAAAATATTTAGACAAATATCTGCTCAATAGTAGCGGCTAAATTGGAGGAAATAAGCACACCTGGGTGCATTAAAATTTAAAATAACCATATATTTTCACTTAAGGTTGTAATATTGAGGTCTGTGCATTGCAATTCTGTTACATCTGACGACCTGCATCTCCCCTCGGTCCAGTTCATTCAAGATATACTACCAAGGATTGCCTACCAAGAGAGTACCAGTTAATTCCCTGGTAAAAATGATATTTTAAAACATTCTTCGAGAACTTAAAAAAAAACTGTTAAAATTTTTGTGCTAGGAAACCCTTTGTGGCTATTTTTAAAGTAAAATTTAAGGGGAAAAAAGGGTTATAAAATTCTGAAAATATCACTGCAGTTTTTTGACATTTTTGTTCAAAAATTTTAGTGTAGAAAAACTACAATTTATAGGTATTTTTAAAATATCACTGTAGTTTTTTAACATATTTTTCAAACAATTTTAGCATTGAAAAACTACAGTTGATATTTTGAGAGTTTTTTTTTTAACACTTTTTTACTGAAATTTTAACGCTTTTAAATTTTACTTAAAAATAGTCAAATAGGGTTTCGTGATGAGAGAATTGTAACAGTTTCTTTAAAAAGTTGTCCGTTTGAAGTTTAAGAGTTTCTTAAAAGTCGTTGCCACTAGGGTTGTTGCAAATCTCAATTCCAATATTTAAATTCTGGCGAAGAAGGCAAGAAACCTAATCTAATAAAGTTAAAAGATAAACAACTGAAGATGTTCTTGATGACCAAATCAGGTTACTAAAAAGCTTAGAAATTTTCCTCTAAAGTCTTATGGATTCAGCTGCCAATTGAGTATTTCTTTTGAATAAGACCATATGGCTGTACAAATAGTTTTTCTAAAGAACGGCCTATGTGCTTGCTCACATCACGATTCTAAATTTGAAAAAGTTCATCTATGAAATTCATGTGTCTCTAGAAAAACCACATATCTGGCTAAATGTGATACATCATGGTGAGCATATCAGTTTAAGTAGTTAACTAAACGGTTTTGATGCACATACATATCACTGAGCTGCTATATGTAACTGTAGGCTAGTTCTCTGGAGGATCCCCTCCTACAAACATCCAAGAAAATCTGTGTTTGAAGTGACAACTTATTGTTTCACAACCCTGTCAACATCACTTTTAAAATTCTTGAGAATTTTTCAACATCACCAAAAGTGTTTTGGGACCTATATTTCAACACTAATAATAAGAGGGAAAACTTTAAAAAGTACCTAACGTAAGGAGCCAGAAATTCACAGGAAAAATTTAAACACTATGCGGAATAAACAAAAAATATAGACAAAATCTCAAAATCTGTCCCTCTTCCCTTCCTAATTTTGGCTCAATGTCATTGCAGTCATATTTTTTATCATCCTGTGATCATCCCATTGCTAAGTTGACAAAAAAAAATGTCAAAAGACACAGGCTACTCAAATTGGAAGGACGTTTTTCAAGCTCATTTCTGTGCATTGAAAGATAGTTACTCCAGTGGTGTGGGGAAGTGCGATTCTTATCAAGTGAAATTTTAAACTGATATTTTTATGCTCCTCAAATAATTTGTGAAAATTCCTCTATTACAGTGTAATAGTTTTCATGCATATTTCTGGTCAACTATGTGCTAAAAATAATAATCTAAGTAAGTGCTTTCTACTGAGGTGCAAAAGTGATTCTTTGTATAAACAAGGTGTAACTGAACTTGCAACTTTCACTCCTATAAAGTACCAAGTAACTTTGAAATGTTCTTTAGACGTCGATCGATCAAGGAGAGTGTGCCCTTCAATGCTGTTTTTCAATTTAAGAAATTCATTAATTTGTGTCAAAACCATTTGAATCTTTTAATAGAGTTTCCATCGCACATATCACTTACTTCCGTTGGACATGGTCACTCAAAAGAAGTCTGCAATTGCTCAAATGAAACCATAAAGTTGTACCAGGAAAATGGACGGAAAACTTCCACATTGGACTCATGCACACAGAGCAATGTGATGAACAACTTCAGAATCAGCATACATGTTAGCAATGATCAGGTTTACAATGAGGGACTATGTTACTGCTGATACTGGCGTAGCATTCAAGTAGCTCTGAGGGAAATGCCTATACCTTTCTTTATTGAGAATTAATGCTCTACAGGTCGTCTCAGCCTGAATTGATCATCTGCTATATTCTACCTATCATGTTGAAACATTTCAATCGGACTTCAAAACCGAACACTGACCGAACAGTTCTTGAAAGGATAAGATTTGATGGTTCATGTGATTACTTGGCATGAAAATATTGAATTTATAGTCCTTTTCAACTTTAATTAAGTCCCCTAAAAGAAAGCCACAATTCAAACCTGAGCATAAGTCGGAGGAATAAGTTTAAGATGGTGATAACTGGATACAAAAGAATTACGATAGTATAGTAAGCTGAGAGAAAATTAATGCCAGTGAAATTCTTCCTTTGATTTTTTCCCCGAAAACTATTCAGTGATAACAACACTTCCGAGGTTTCGATTTGACACTGCACCTGATGAACTCAAACTAACACAGATCATATGCACTGTAATAAACCTTCAAATTCACTTAGATGTTCCCCCGTGAAACTTTGCTAGACTATGAAGTTCTAAAATTATATCTATGATAATGCAACCTGATGAACGCTTTCATGAAATGCTAATGATGAGTATCTATGGCCAAGTGGTGTTGGTAGGGTTAACAAGATTCTACTGTCCTCTCCCTGACGTTGCAACATACAAAACCTCATGAAACACTAATTTCTGCCCGCAGTATCCAAAATTCATCTTACACAGCCCATCATATCGTTACTACAGAACGTCTCACCTTCCAGTGTTCAAACCCAGGTCCCTTGTAGCGCTCTTCCATGTGGACTTCCACCAACATATAGCAACATAGTTAAGCTATTGGGCTTTGTAAATTAGGGATTTGTTTCTGTTTCTGGTGGAAGACATGAATTCTAAGAGCATGAAAGGCAGTAACTTGAAACGGGCCGTGTAGCAGGCGGGTTTGAGGTTACTTACGTTGTAAACACGAACCAAACACTTGGAGAAGTAGAAATATTCCTTGGAAATCATCATCACAGTCACGGGTGAAAGTTACTTCGTTCACATTTAAAAGCTTTTCCCAGATACTTTTTATGTGATCACTTACTTCCATGGCTTGACTTGCATAAATGCATTTCACGAATCACGATTATTACGCGCGAACAGCGATAACGAGAAACGACCGGGCAAAACGTAAACAAACAACAGCGATCAAGGCCCTAGTGAGCAAAATTCGAACTAAACGGCGGAAGTCATCTCACTCACCGTTTCCACTCTCAGAGGCGGGAAAATAATGAAACTACCATGGCGATTGAAAGCTACTTATCAGAAGTTAACAGGGGGAAAAACCTAAAAAACACACCTGCGGAGTAAAAACATAACGTTATAACGGTACCGGTCCGTTTCTGAAGGGAAACACAAGTTACCTTAAACTAAGTCAGAAAGACTAGATATGGACCGTTCTCTAATTTTCTTTACTTCTGATGGACTCCTCCAAAAAATGCTGTCCAGTTAGTTAGGAGCATCCCTACAAGAGAAGGGAAAAATTGCTGATATCAACGTGTTTCTCCTCAATCAGAGCTTTACTCGGTAATAGCTAGTACTTGTACACCTCTTCAGTCGGCTCATGCGATAGGTATAATATGAGATAAGAAGAAAAAATTGGCAAGTAGGTAGCCAGTTGTGTCTCAGACACAGGACATTCTTATATTCTAAAGCTGATCCATTTAACAGAGATCTTAAACTAAAAGAAAGTGATATTCCTAAACCTATCCAGTGTTCTCAAATGAGTAGATGATTAAATCCGAATTGTGACTACCTGTTGAATAGGGATCTTTCACGGCCTAAATACTAATGTACTTTTTTCCTGATCAGTTGCAAAATACCTATAGGTATGTACTTCAGCAGAGAGAGAAAAAAAATTGGATAGTGTGCTAAAATGGGAGAGCTTACATTTAGAGGTAGCTCCTATGGTGTAGTGGTTGTAGCGCTAGCTCTATGATCGGGAGGTCTCGGATTTGATTCCCAGCCAGGCGACCCAAGTTTGATGGTATCAAACAATGGTCACCTGGAACTGGTTGTAGAGACGGAGGGGGACAGGACTAAAGCGCAAGGATTAGCCCTTGTGTGCTATTTGAAGTAGAAAAAAAAAAAAAAAAAAAAAAATAGTTGGGGAACTCAAAATAACTTGTGTCGAAAATTCCAGTTCCAATGCACTGAGAATTTCTTATCTATTACAATCTGAGAGCTCCAAAATAATTAATATACTCTGAAATACTTTCCTAAGAATTTTGATTCTAAACTATACAAAAAAGAAATCTTTACTGAGTATGATCCGTAATTTACTGGGCTAGAAAATCAAACAGAAAACTGATGGAGGGAGGCATTGAGCTGAGTAACTTTGACAGCAAGGACCAATTCCTCTCTTAGGTGAGGTGAATTCGACCTCCCCTCTCTTTAGACAATGCCCTTTTTTAGGTACTAAAGCAATCATTTCATAGTAGAATTTGAGGAAGCAAAGAAATAAGGCATCAAAATGCAAAAGGAAATTTTTTTTTTTCAGCTAGCTTCCTCTCAATCTATTGATCTCCATTCAAACAAAACAAAAATTCTCTCACGTTCAAAAAATCATTTCAGAATAGAATTTTTGGAACATTGCTCTCATTTGTTAGCTTGGCCCAAGGGATCCCCTTACATAAACATATTATTCCTAGATGGTTTTTTGGAATTTTTTTTTTTAAACTTCTATTCTGTTCTAACTTTTGCTACAATGAACTTAACATCGTCATTCTCTCTGAGGCAGCCACTGAAAAATAGAATTATTGTCTTGAAGAATTTCTGAATATTGAGAGGGGAAGAAACTGGTCAAAGGATTGTAAAGATCTGTTGAAGTCAGAATTGCCAAACAAATTAAAAAAAGAGTGCAAAACGGGATATTTTAAAATAAGAAAATAATAATTCTCACGCTTTTCAGTTGATTAGGAAAAGATATCAAAGTGCAGCTGCTACAATTTTTGTTTAGGGAATAAAATTTGTTGATCATCATGCAATTTGGTTAATAAAACAGCTTATGGCATGTGAACTGATAATGGCAATTCAGAGGTAAATTAGTTGTTTCGTCTGTCAACAACCCTATACTTTTCAGTTTGATGAAGAAAATGAAAACTCACCGAAGCTTTGCATTTGAGATTATCACAAGAAACAAAAGATGTCCAATGAAGATGGTCACTTGGGTCAGAAATGGGATATGATTTACTGTTTCTGAAGTCTCCCTAAGAGGTAGTTTTTTTTTTTTAATACTGAACTCATTGTCACACTTGACTGCTATGATTGAGTAAGTATGTGTATAAAATTGAGAAATAGCTACAATCTGACAGATATAAATTGAGTAAATGACCTTAGAACATCAGGGGCTTCCAAATAGAGAAGAGCCATTCAAGGCATTCTTGCCCTTGACTCTCAAGAAAAAATTTAACTTGGCTCTTTCTCATCGGGGCCCTCTGCAAGAAACTGAGTCATGTTTTGATGGTACGACTTATTCAAATATTTTCTGTGATCACAGGAAACAAAGACATCCAATTTGATAACATAGACTGTATTAATTAATGCAACAGACTAACCAACTGAGTGGTATCTGTTCAAATTTATGTACATATTAACGTTCCTTCAATAAACAATAGGACTTAAATCCAGTAAGCGCTTTTAGACAGAAAAATATAAATGATATAAAAATCATCGAAAAAACAAAAAGATATTTTAACTTAAATTTATTTCCGATTCCCTAAATTAAGACTCTTTATGAAAAAACTGAATAAATTAGAGACAGGTAACTCATAAGTTGAATCTACCTTCCTGAAAGTCCAGCGATATGACTCGTTTCAATCTGAGGATCAGTAGCAAAGAGGCTAAAGTTAATAATAAAAACAGGATCCCTCCTGAGGACCATACTTCCAAAAAGGATCACTGGAAAGAAACTTACAAGTGAATCCTCACACATATATTGCATGAAAAGTAAAATAGAACTTTCACACAAACAGCAGCTTTTCAATAAGCCTTCATGGAGAAAATAGTGAAAATTGCTGTGTTCAAAGGCAACAAAATAATTGATAACTTAAACAAGAAGGTTCATGTTTATTTGAACATGGACAAAGGGTTGATAAAATTAAGATTATGTGTAACACGTAAAATAAAATAAGAAGTAAGGCATGTTTAATATTATACATTACAGAGAAAGGGTGGCCTCGACCATAAAGTAGTTACACTTTTGTTTGAAGCTTTGACTCTCTCACATACCAGTTTCATCAACACAGAGATTCTGAGTGATAATATGATCCGCTGACATGACGACTTGCAAAGGTTCTTCTTCCGATCAGCAAAAGCCAACTCCAGCAGCTCAGAAACCACCTATGAAAAGTAAATCAAGCTCTCAAAAAATTACTATCCATATTCAATGACGAAAAAAAATAAAAAATAATTCATAGTTAGCACCATACAAACGCGGTAAGTGTAATGTTTGAGCTTAAGTAACCCACATCCCATGTACTAAACATTATTGTAAATGTTATTAAATTTAAATATTCATAAACTATTTGCTTCAGCAGAAAGCATAATGCAGGAGAAGGAGCCCAGATCATCCTAGGAACTGTGTGAAACAAAAAAAGAGATAACAGCAAAACAAGTCCATTGAAAACGATGGCACTAACATAAATTGCTTGATGAAACATATACCTTATTCTTTCATTTTTGGTTATCTTTCCTTTCCTATTTTTCTCTTGAATATTTCTTCTTTCTTCTCCTTCTGTTGTAAAAAGAAACGTTTCTTGAAAAACCCCTTCCCCATACTATCTGCTGTAAAGTGACTAGGGACTTTTCCTTTTCCAATGAAGGTAAAAAGTTTAATTAGAGCAATTCCTTACACTATTCAGCAAAAAATTAATTTTTGTCGGTGCCTCAATTCAGAGATGGAGAGAAATAAAAGAGAAATAGAAAACAGAAATAGAGAGACCAGTCACCACAATGAGTCGATATGGTAATACTTCAAAGTCAACGACTGGTCTTCCTGAAACGCATAGCTGAGAGAAATAAAAGGGGGGAAAATTTCCTACATAACTTCTAATCTATAAAGTTATTGATAAGACAGGTTACATAAAAAAAAAATAAAAAAAAAAAAAAAAAAAAATAAAAATTAACATGACAAAGTAATACTTCAAGAAGCTGAATATTTGGCCATTGACAAATTTAAATCTTTAGTTGAAAGACAAAGTCATATACAATATTCAAATCATCATTAAATGATACCTAACTTTTTTATCTTTTAGCATTGATGATGAAAAAATAAAATGAAAAAATTGCACCTGCACTGTTTAGTTTTACTGTCAAAACGCTCCAGTAATAATCCAACATAGAAGTGAAGAATATTATAATTATTTGTCTCCTGACCCCCGAAAAAAACACTCAATAAATTACACTTTATCCCGATGAAAAGATTTATGTTGGTTTGAAAACTGTAACCTTACAGAATATGAATTTCATCATCATTTAATTATCGAAATTCCAACGATTTGAACTTAAAATTACACATTGTGATCGAAGAGGTTGAAAGTTGCAAGGTACTTCAAGATAGGCATTAGGTAACAGAGTACATAAATGGTAATTTTGAAACTCCTTTGCATAAAATCCACAGAAAATAAATTCCGAGCTATTTTAAAAACGGTTCTGCTGTTACTTCGATTGTCTTTGGAAGGTTAAATGCTGGACAGTAGTTAATTATGTTCAGAAACACCAAGAGCTACAGCTCTTTAATTGAGAGCTGATTTATTTACCAATTGTATAAGTTTGGGCAGCTTGATTTCAGCTTACTTAAAATCGTGCTTCAACAAAATAACAGGATACTATCTTCTCTCTATTAAGCTTGTTTTTTTTTACACACCTAATTTTCGAAAGGCTAATTTGTTTGAAGTCTTGTCCAGCTAGTCAAGGTATTAAAAAAGAAAAAAAGAAAAAGAAAAAAGATAAAAAAAGTACATTTGAAATACATTTGAAAATGGAAAGAGGGGAAAAAAGGAAAATCATAAGTCTCGAAAACTCAAAACAAAATTACCATCCTGAAAAGAACACAACCTCAAAAAGCTCACAACTTACCTGCATTGCCATTCGGAACGAGAGCAGGTAAATTAGCATTCTTCAACAAAGAACTTAGTGCGGAGCGAACTTTGTCTGTAGCTAAATTTGAAAGACTTTGCCGCATTGCCATATTGCTGGTGTACACTGCTTGACTGTTTGAATCACCACCATAGTCTAGACCTTTAGAAATAAACGTAATAATTTTAAAACAGTGAAAGATATTTTCGCATCATGCTTTTAAGCATTGTAGAATTTCACTCCTCTCTTGAGTGAAAGCATAATATGTAAAGATGTAGAAACGCTCAAATGGAATATCAAGGGGATGATTTACATGGTCAAGTCGTTTTTAAATAATCACTTTGGCGCAAGGAAAAAAAAGTATGACAAAAAATTCCTAGGCTGACTTACATATTAGGCTACAATTAGTTGTGATCCAGATTAAAGCCGAAATAATTAATAAGAGCAAATTATAGGATCAATTTGACGAGAGCAGAGAGTAGTCTGTGCACTCATTGCTGTGAAAGTAAGCAAGTTTCATTCATGTAACTTTTGCCGCAATCACACGCTGAATTTAGCAGCTGAATGTGGAAGTCAACAGTCATCGCCCAACGGCTGAAATTTCGCAAATTCGAGTTACTTTCATCCAGATGTGCATCAAATCTACTCGAATAGTTCAGAAAAATCCAACATTAGTCCGATGGTTGCTGAGAATCGTCGCTGAATTTTGCGCGTCACGCGCAAAATTCAGGCATTGGGCCGATGACTTCCAGATTCAAGCCACATTCAGCGTGTGATTGCAGCATAAGACAAAAAGCCTTAGATTTCATACAAGTGCATGCCTTTTGTCAGTTACAGAATTTCACTGAGTCTCTGAGTCGTATACATTTTTTGATGGTACTGCATATTATTGAGAGTTTAACTTCCGAGAGGCTCTCCAATAACTGCTTCCACAGGCTAGAGTTGACATAAGCATTTCAAAACACCACTATTTTCAATATTGGAGACAAAGATCATCATAATAAAAAGAGAATAAAAATTGTCTACCTTCTACCTCTCTCCTGCTTCTATGACTCACTTGCGGAAATAGACAGTGTTAAAATATGGCACTGGGAAATTGGGACCACTGACATGTTTTCAGACTTAGCCCCTCCCCCATCCTAATTTTTCTTAACTACTTAATTTCCACTCTCTCTAATGGAAGTTAAGTTTTCAGAGTATTCACATACCTCATCAATTAATATATTTTGATTGATCCAAGGACACAATAAAACAAACGGCAAATTAATAAAGAAGAAAAATTCTCATCAAAATATATAAAATAGGCAAACAAAAAAAAAGAGTTGTAAAGTGTAAATAATCAACTAAAATAATGAGTCTGATGAACCTAAATTTAAAAGAATTGACTGATCATCCGATTGCATTCCTGCGTCTATACAACAGAATCAAAAGCGGTCCATGCAAACCGGCTTCTTTTCCTGGATATTTGGACTACATTTTGCAATGAAGAAATATGTACAACTTTTGCCTCATTTTAGTAACAGTAAAACTCTTCAAAATAAGAGAATAAATCAAGGGAGAGTCAATAAAGGAAGAAATCAGCTTTTCCTTCTGATTCAGAGGGTATGAACAGAAAATTGTTTGAAGATTATTTTAGTATTGGTCCAATCAGGAACTACCTAAATAGTCTTTTCCATGGATTTTTTCTGGTGTAAGACATGATAATCGAAAGGCAGGTGTAATAAATACCAAATCTTGTTTATATATTACACTGCACACACTGTTCAAAAATATTTCAACTTTTCACAAGTGGTGATAACTTCCTGATTACTAAAAGATAAAGGAATTAAACCAAGACTCACATTGAGGATAAAAAACTTGAAGTTTAGGATCTAATTTTCCTAATTTTTTGGCTGTGAGATGTGACTGTTGTAGCTCCATGCACAGAGTATCTATCAAATGTTTGTTTTGGGTATCAGTTTGCTGGAATAAAGAGGTACGTTCATGACAAACAATGTAAAAATAATCGGTGCTATCAGTTACTAAAATATAAATAAAACTTCACCAGTCAAAATAATGGAGAAATAAAAACTGACAGGACTTTGGCATAAATAATGTACATTGGCCTGAATGAAAGAAATGCCATTCAGAGACTTTCGTCAGAGACAAATATTCATATTCCAATTGGTTTTTTGACAAGAATTTCCAAAAACACGCAAATACTTATCCGGATTATCAGATACGAATTCAGGCTCTATGTGAATCAACATACTTTTTCTAGAAAAGTTAACGAATAAAACAATTGGAGCAACAAGTTCACAAATCAACTTTTTAAAAATAAAAGGAAGGTATACTTAACACAATTCAGATGGAAGACTGACGGCATCATCCAGGTTTTACTGGATACTTATTTGCTTGATACTTTACTGTATTATTCCACCTTAATACTCTATTCATGGTTAAATTTTAGAAAACTTTGCAAGGAAGGATCATCATATAATCAGTGCAAAAATGGAGCCTACTGACAAGACAGACACTTAAATATCTATCAAAAATCAGAAATACTAAAAACAACAGAAAAATCAAGTACCTCATAGCAGCTTCTTAAAGAGAGTAATTGGTGCATTGTGATAGGAGTTTTATTTATTAAGGCCTGTGAGATACTCGCCAACTGGGCCTGCAAAGATGAATTGGATTCTGCATGTAACGGGTGACTGGCTGGTGACAATTTCCTAGAATGTGGTAACACTCCGGGTGAGCCACCGGGCAGACTCGGCACATTGAAAAATTCATTCGGCTCCATTGAAAATCTACTACATGCCTCCTGTTTCAATAACTTGGAAGATCTGACAGAAACAAAATGAGAACAAATAAATAAAATAAGTGAATGCATTTAAGTGCATTAATGAGAAAGGAGGGGACTTTTTTAATGAGTTCAATTTAATTTTTTGATGCAGAGTGGTATGATAAAACAATCCCTCAACCACATCTGCAGGGTGATTATTGAAATGATATCGACTCTTTGTTGCCGCTTTGTCGTATCGCACCATTGACTGAGTGGTTCTCAGTCGATGGCGCGACACGACAAAGCGGCGACATAGAGTCGATGTCATTTCAATAATCGCCCTGCTGGTATGGTAAAGTAGAAACCGGACTTCAGTTATTGGGGCCCAGTGGATGATCTCCTTGACATATCCATGAGCTCATTTGATTTGCATGGATAAAATTTCTGAAAGATGGGTGCAAGGTTGTTGACCCTGGCACAAAAAGAGAAATGCATTTCCTCCTGCCAACAGCTGCTGAGCAGAGAGCCGCTTAGAAGCAGATGTAAATTTTTTTAAATAAAATTATCACCGTTGATGAGACTTGGGTGAGGAAGGACATGATGGTTTTGCCATTTATAGAAGATGCAAAACGCACTTCAGCCCATCAGAATAACTTGGATGTCAACAGCAAACTATTGAGGATAATGCAAGTTTGCAAAAACCAGCGATTTTATCAGGCTATCACTTATCAGTAGGCAAATAAACCACAGAAACATTAATCAAGTCATTTGTTAGCCCATGGTGACAAAATTTCAGTTTCTAATTAACTTAACCTTGTACATTGCATATAGTCTTTGTGCTGATGTTGATTCAATTGCATTGTACAATAAAAGCGACGTAAATGTACTCACTTGCAAGTAAATTGATATCGATTTGCGGACCCATTTTGCTGGCTGTATTTTTTGGCATCCTTACGGGACTCTTGACTGAGTCGCGCTGAGGATGCTGGAGAGTCAAGCCGACAAAATGAGTCTGCAAAGCAATATCAATCCACGATATCAATCTCAAAAGGTTTTTTTTACTTTATCTTGAAAGGTTCTCCGTAATTATTTTATTGAGAGCATCGTAAGTTTCACAAACTTATTGCAATTTTTTGTACTTTATTGCATTGCTTGGACACCTCAATTGCTGAAAAATGCAGCTAGTAATCATGAAGTCCTACAGCAGTAAATGATCCATAGAAAAATCAAAATCTAATCTCTGCACCTTATATAAAATTATAGAGGCTATGTACTCATCTTAAAGTCAGTAACAAAGTAAGTGCACGGATAAAATATAATAAATTGTAACCTATTTACAATAAAATATTTTTGCTCTTTTTCTTAATTTGACTTTTTGAATCTTTGGGATTCTTAATCCATCACAGAGTAAAAAAAAATCAAATCAAATGTAAGAACCACAAGAGCAACTTGAAGAAAATAAACAAGAGGTTTGATTAAGAAAATTATAATAATTCTTACAGTTTCAAGTCAGGGACTAGAAGTACCTGTAATGTCAGCTGTCTACTTGTAAGCCTGTTATAAAGCAAAATAGTCGGTGGTATCTACTTAAAAACATACAGAAAAGGACAAGGCACAGTCCTTGTGGGAATTCAGACACTGACAAATCTGATGACTTCAAAAAATGAACTCGTCACACATCACTGATTCAAGGTCTCCAAGGATACAAAAAAAGAGAGATGGTTTAAATGTAATCCAGAAAATATATTTTTTCAATGTATAGAGTAACAAGACAACCTAAAATCGCAATTCAGGGGGAAAACCTAATTTCATGGAGACAAAACAAACCTGTTTTGTTTGATTTTTCATTGCTTGAGTTTTTTTGGGTGATTTGTCCCAGGTTTGGTCAAACTGGCGTGAAATATATCAAATCTGCTAAAACAAAAGTCTCGGCAGATTATGACTTTTTAGCTCAAAAAAAGAGGACAATACCCTATGCAAATGAGCCTAAATGTATTTTATTTGTAATGTATATATACCCAGGTGCGAGATCCTGCGATCTCAAATTTTCAGCATGTCTGAATGCAAGTACTCTTATTTTCTATAACTATGATTTTTAGCCATTTCAAAAGGTACACACAGACGTTCAAGAGTACCAATGTTCTTGGCTTCATGCCCCTGAACATTTTTTTTTTCAGCAGGAGCTGAAAATGAATCAATTTCCAAGTCATCAGATTTTACCAGCACTAAATTCTTAGGAAGATTTTGCCATGTACTTTTGAAATGATAATAAAATAAAATGGAGTAAAATAAAATAAAATTGGAAAAGGTACCTATCAGCAGTAATAAGAGGTTTTTTCATGCCTGCAGCCAATACTGATCTGAAATGAATAAGCATGCGATCACAGTTTATGATTAAAAAAAGCACTGAACTACATGTGAGACACAAATACAAGAGACACAGACAGTTACATCTATCTATTGCACTGAAGCGAGAAATATGTGGCTATTGATAAATCAAAGGAAATGACTTCCAACACTTTTAGAGGGGAAAAGATAGAGTGGGAGTAGTGATAAAGTATTGTGCGCAAAATGAAAAAATAAAATAAGATTTTAAGAAAAAATTGAAAAAAACCAATTTAATGACAAATATTTTAAGGCTAAAAACGACTTAAGGGGGGGGGAACCTCAAAAATTAGATGGAATATTCTGATTTAATAAGATTTTAGCTTGAGCGAAATATGCACTTATGTCTCGATTAGCTGCGGTGACTCATTTATTCAGTGGTATAGCAGTAATCTAAAAACACAGACTATCTGAGTCAATGAATCACAAGTCAATGAAAAAATATTAAAAATTTTACTGATGCATATTAATATGAAGGATAATATTTGACTTTGCCTACTTACAATACATTTCCAACAACAGGGTGAACCACTCCCTTTTCATAATTTTCCCTTTTGCATATTCCGTTTTTAGAGAAAATTTTTTTAAACTATTCACAATAATGACTGCATCCGACTTGAGGATTTTTTTCTTGGCTATGTGGGAATGTTTGACACAAAAATTTTGTGAGAGTATTTTGGCTAAATCAGCAATTTTTTTTGCAGAATTTTCAGTTGGAAAACTTGATAGTATGGATTACTTTGGCATATTGTGAAACTAAACGGCAAGGATAAATAAAAATAAAATGATATCAACGTCAAACAAAATAGAACAGCAGAAAAGATAAAAATTTGGCACATTATGAAAAAAAACTTATCTAAGAATTTAAACGTTAATTGACAAAACAATAGAGAAGAGAAAAGAAAATTGCCTGAAAAAAAGAAGCAAGCTATATGAGACAAGTCATCGACTTACCCACTACCCGATAGTTCAAAATTTTCTTCAAAGGACTTATTCTTCAATAAAGGTTGCTTGGCAGCTATTTCTTGTTCACGAAGAAGACGTTTCCGTTTTTTACTCCATAATTCATGGCAATCTTGCCATGTAGGTAACTGAGGTGGAGGCATTCTAAGACAAAAAGAGCACTTCATTGATAACAAGGAACATGTCGAGAATCAATGAAATGAAGTTTAAAGAGAAGGGGATGGAAACTAAAAATTGAGTAGTTTCAAGTAGGTATGATTGTTGGTTGTCTATTACAGATGCTACTAAATCAATGGTCAAAAGAAAAAAAGAAGAGAAAAAAATGACACAGGGGTGGGAAAGCCCCTTCAAAAGCAGGCAAAGCAATCAGTTATAATTTTGATCACACAATAATAGGAAAAAACATGAAATTTCAAGGAATAGTGAAAGAAAGGCTTTCTGAGTTTTCAGCAATTTAAAATCAGTGGCATGACCAGAAATTTTTCATGAGGATGGGGGGTTCAAAAGTAATATGATCCTGAAAATAATGAAAAATGTCATTTTGAGGGGGAAACTTTGCAATTACAAGACCAGACCTGATTGACACCCCCCCCCTCCCCCCCACACACACAACATAATTGCATAATCTAGAGAACCACTGGGGACCACTGACTGTAAATAAATCATTAGGCAGCTCTTTGGGGGTAGTTTTCCACTCTAATGGACGGCCTATGCTGTTCAGGCTATTCCTGTAATTTGATGCTGTTAGGTCATTAAGATTAAAGACTGTACCTCTGGAAGTGACAAAAAAATATTGAACCGGCTTATATCAAGCAAAGAAATTATAACAGCGTGCAGTTTTCTTTGTCCTCTAAGAGCATCAAACGGGTAAGTTGAAAATTTTAAAAGATACAGCATCTTCTAAAATTTGAGTGAAAAAAAACTCAATGTACATTCATTCTCTTTTCATAGTCTGTAAACTGAAGAAGGATGAAATGAACGAGAAGGCTTACTTGTCAGGGTAAATATTTTTGAGCCACTCAGACTTTAATGCTTGCTCAGCAGTAAAGCGCTTGTCAGGATCCAGCTCAAGCATTTTGTCAAGAAGGTCAAGAGCATGACTAGGCATAAAGGAAAAGTCATCTCGCAATCTACGTCGATGAATTTTCTTTGGTTTCAAAGTGTGCCAGAGACTTAATTTAATGACATTCGGCCAGGCAGCGGGAGTTGGCGTTCCACAAGTCCGTGATATGCATTCTAGTTGTGCTGGTTCTGAATTTGCCTGATGAATCAAAAATTAAAGTGTGATTACATATTGTAAAAACTAATTGATTTACAGTAAAATATTATTTAGAGGAAAAATATGAACTCACAATAGTTTCCTCTTTCGAGCTATGAATTGAAAGAAAGAAAGAAAAAAAAAGAGCGTTTCAAGTGTCTTCTTGAGTGATGTTTATCACTGTCAGCCAGGGTGTTTTGATTGTCTGTAAAATGTTTTAGTATGTTTTTCTGTCTAACATAGGATACCCATGGACCAGTAAAAACTTAGAGAAAAAAAAAAGTAGTTGCATGTCTGACATCTTGGTGAGAGGTCAATGATGAAATTGGTTGAAGACACTTTTGTCATTGATTTTTTTAAACACAGTGTGGTTTATGAGAAACAAATATGCTTTATCAAGTGTGTAACCTCATATTTTTTGTTACATTATGCAAAAAAAAAAAACAAAAAACAAAAAAAAGGAAGAAAAGAATGCTACAATCTCTTTCCTATATTTTCTATTTCACATTTGGCAGGAATATTAACACAATATAGAATCCATCTGCACCACCGTGAGTAACAATTGGAAACTGTGACCACCTCTTTCTTTTCTAGATGAAGTAAAGAAATGTTTACCTGGAACAGTGGTTTTTTCAAGAACAGTTCGCCTAAGATGCAGCCGCAAGACCAAACATCTATTGCTGGACCATATCGTTCTTCGCCAAGAAGTAACTCAGGTGGCCTATACCATAAGGTAATGACTTTGTTGGTGTAAGGTCTCTGACGATCCTCTGCATTATACAATCTAGCCAAACCTAGATCAGCCAATTTGACCTCTCCCCTGCAAATAACAGTAAACAAATAAAATACACAAGAAATACCTTGTAAACATACTAAATTTAAAATACTTACAAGAGTGAGACATTATACTGTAACTTTGAAAGGTATAAAATTATATTGGTTCATCCAAGGGGGGAGGGGGCTGGGGAAAAGGCAGTTTCTAAAGTTAGAAAAAAAGAACAGCGAGTGACAAATGAACGGGCCCTCCCTCTACTTCTTCTTCTTATTTTACTGGCTTTTACTCCAGTAGAGGAGCGGCCCGCCTCTTTATAATACATCTGACCTGATTTCCAAAACGACTCATATTTTATTTTGATAAAAAACTAATATGCAGCTCCCAACTTTCGGTAGCTCTCCCAACTCTTTGCCATACACTGAGGAAATTTCACGGTCATAAGTTTTCGGGAGCAAATTTCTTGAAAATCAGCTATTTCAAACTGCGCATGCAACGCTGATTGGACAGAGAATGTCCCTTATTCCTTGATTCTTGTCGATTGAAGTTATGAGTAGACTTTTAGAGTAATTTGTCGAAAGGGAAAATATTTGAGAGCCGTGAAGCCTCTGCTTAAGAATCTATAAAAAAAAGCAAGTATTTAAAAAATGGAGGTTGAAAGTCATCAGAGAGAAGAAATTGATGCCAAAAAAAAATAGAACTTACTTGTTATTCATAAGTATATTGCTACATTTAATATCCCTATGGAGGAAATTCTTTTTGTGACAATAATTCAGGCCATCCAGTAGCTGTTTCATTATACATGCATTGTGGATTTCATTGAATTCTACCATGCCAGACTCTAGAAGACCCATTAAATCGTGATCCAAGTATTCAAATACAAGATAGAATGAGCCTTTGTCCTGAAATAATAAAAGCCAGAACCGTCAAATTTTCACATCACTTATAATGGGTTCATTTTATGACAAAAACAAAAAATAATGAAAGGAGGGGGCGGTATATTAGAAGATACATATATCGGAGACAAAGATAATGAAGTCAGAGAAATTTCTGTTCTTTGTTTTCAGTAATGCTCGATGTGCTTGAAAAGCAAAACAGTTAAAGTAATTATGATGCTGTAAGAAGTTCCTAGACAACTCGACACTTCCTAAATTAATGCGTCTTCGTGATATCATTAACAATCCACATTTTACTTAGTTCGAAGAATAAAAGAACATCATTAAGTATCACAGAGCTTTTCCCTCTTGCAATGGTTTGTTCTTTTTCTGAGGAACCGTCTTCACATCCACAGGAAAAAGTGTTTTTTATCCCTGTTTTGGAGCTTATTTAAAGGAGATTCTATCTCACTGTTTTCTGACAACTTTAAAAAACAACCATATTCAGACAAATCACTCCTGAACTAAACCGACCTGTTTGGACTTCCAAGACTCCCAGGATTTGAAATTAAAATCTTGGTCAACAAGATGTGATTAAGAAAGAGATAACATTATGTGGACAAAGTACCTTTCTAAAGTCCAAAGCATCTTGCTTGTCAGTCACTATTTCTTGAAGTTTGATGATATTTTTGTGGTTCAATTGCCTAAGGATCTTGATTTCTCTGACGGCAGTTATTGGAAAACCTTCTTTCTCATTTTCCAGTCGGACCTTCTTCAAGGCCACAAGATCTCCTGAAAAAATAAACATTGATTAAGAGGCGGAAGACATGAGTTGGAGAATCTTTTCTTTGAGAAAATACGTCCCTCTTAAAAGCCTGCTGCAGCAATCAAAATTAAAATTAGTTGTTCACTAGCTATCTACCAGGGGATGATGACTGAGATAGACATTTTAAATCTTCACTCTACGAACAAAAGCAGATTGATAGTTGAGACTAGGAATGGTTCCGAAACATTGATAATTTCTTGTGGTCAGGAGTTTATGCCTCTTGCCGAAAGAGGCCATCATGTAAAAGTAAAAAAAAAAAAAACCAGGAAGAGGTGGACTTTTTGATGATACTGTACGAGAGCTTTATTGTAAGAAATTTTATTAGAAGGCCAAAGAAAACTTGGAATAAGAATTATGTCAACAAATTTAAAAGAGAATTGGAAAAAACCCAATCGATCCAAAGAAGAGAGGGGAAAAAGTACCTGTAGCTTTGTCGCGTGCTTTGTACACTTGGCCGTATGTTCCTTCACCAATTTGAGCAATCACTTCAAAAACATCTACACAACGTTCACCCCAGTCTTTGATTTGGTTGCTTTGAGGAAAACTGGTCCTTGACGGTCGTCTTTTGTGCAATATTTTTGGCCGGCGCAATTTGGTTGTGCTGTGGCGAGCTGCTCTGGCTGCTCCTGAGTCAAAATTACCTTTAGCGTAACCAGCATTGCTACCTAGTTTCATTGAGCGATCTAGATTGTTCACTACAGATTTCGATGGTGGGGAGAGCAACAAATTATCATCATCAGGACTTAAATCTTCCATTCCAGAGACAACTAGAAGAAAAAGAAACAAAACAAAAAAAATTTAAGTTTCACACACTCACACTTGAGTTAGAAGTAACTAACAAAGAGGATATTCAGTCCTATCATGAGAATTCATTTTTAAACTCATAAGTGAGATGATTTTTATTTCCATTTCTTTTTAAAAAGAAGTATCAATACAAACTGAAAATGTTAGATACTTGAGTTGCTGCGACTGACATTGTGTTTTGCTGCTGTGCGTAACTTTCAGCACACAATTGGTCTCATGTGAGAGCAATAGCTCAAGCTGCCCTTCCCTACTCTCTCCCTCATTTTATGCGCACTTTAAATTTCCTCTTGCCATTAGCTTCAAGCATTTTCTGCACTCTTTCACCTTGCAATACACCTTTCTTTACTAGGGGTTAGTTGATTATTGTAATTAGAATTGATGCTGGCTCATTCTAAAAAGAGAAAGATCACATAAATAATAATTAGAAGTTACATGCTTATGCATGGAAGGAAAATTACCTGGTGGTAGTGGTAGGTCTTTAATGCCTCTTTTAGTCGGTTTTGGTTTTTCAGGCTCAGGCACTTTAACAGGTGCTGGAGGTTTGATTGGTTCAGGACTAGGAGATCTACTGGGTGGCGAATCGACACTTTCCAAATCTTTTGCATTAGTGCCAGGAGGCATGGGCAACTTAGTCAGACTAGGTTTTGACTTTACACTAACTGGCTGATGGCCTCCTGTACTTGATAACGATGCGCTAGGAGCCACTGTCTTCACCGCACTTAAACTAGCATGATTAATAGATTGTTCTTTATGTACACTACTTGGAAAAACATTATTACTATTTACTACAGGAGTCGAGTTCATATTGAAATTTTTACTTGCAGGGTTCATTACATTAGTCTGTTGTGTATCGTAACTCGGAGGTGGCACAGGTGCTACCCACATATGTTGATCACTCGGTGCACTAGATGGTATGTTATGGACAGGATAAGGTTTCATCTCACTATATGCATTGCCCGATGAGTTCCACTCATTCATTGACTCATGATGACTAACTTGATGACTGGTTGATCCGACGGTTGGAATGTGAGAAATCGGGCCGTAAGAAACTGGTGCTGAAACTGGGACAGGTTCAGTAGGGAAAGGATTTTCAGTCATTAAAGCAGGATTCGGGGCTACACTATGACCAGGCTCAAAATTTGATACTGGTAGAGGTTCTGTCAGCCCGAATAATGAACCAGGATTCAAATTCAATGGGTAGTTATTCACCATATTATTTGTCGGCGCTGAGTCTGTTCTATCACTTGACATTTGACTGTCATCTTGTAAAATTTCAATTACTTGCACCTGCGATGCATCACCACTATTTGAGTCATTGTTGGAATACTGATCTTTGTCTGAACCCTTTCCATCTTTTTTGTCATTAGCAGCTAGAAGTTTTTCTAGGTTCCGCCGATCTTTGACTAACTCTGCAAATAAGCTTGTTTCACTCATTTTTGTCTTCGCACTTATTTCTCTCAGCTTCCTGACTGTTTCCCGGCTCTGAGAACGAGTACGCCTGCGACGATGATATGATGGTGATCTACTATGAGATCTTGAACGTCCACGTTTTCTTGAATGCGATCGATGATGACTTGGTGAACGTCTCCGCCTTCGTTCAACTGAGCGACTCCTTGATCTTGATAAAGACCTTCGTGACCTGAAATGAAAATAATTATGCAAAATGAGCTATAAATGATAAGACACTCAAAATGTCTAGGATTCCCTGACCTTTTCGTCCCAATCAAAAGAATCATAAAAAAGAACAAGGCTCAGCGCAATGTATCCATACCGTTCATTAGGGACTCAAATCCCCAGGAGGAAAAATCTACAACAGACTAGGAGAGAGCCCTGCAAGACTTAGTGCCTTGGTATCAAAGCATCATGCTGTTAGGCAAAAAAAATCATTTTCTTGGACAGGAGTTTGCAACTCTCCTGGCTACTGGAGCAACTCTCCCTGACCAATTTGACCTTGCTGGACACTCTAGAGCTGTTGGTCATGGACTTTTTGCTGGCTTGAGTAAAATGGTGCCCTATTCTACCAATTTCTAACCTTGCAATTTATTTGTTGTGGGTTCAAAATTTAATTATGCAAACATGCCGGTACTGCTGTCTTACCTAATACGGAGTCAAAAAGGCCCTTCAGATACAATCAAAGATAAAATTTATTAATTTTTAATAATCTAATCAATTTCTGAGCATCTTTATTAACAATTTTATGAAAATGGAGGATACGCTCTATGTCCTATTTACACTCTACATAACCCTACCCAGATACTTCAGCATCAGCATAAAATGTGACAGTGAAGTCCCAGCTTGTTCTAAGGTCTGCATTCTATGATAACGCCTTCCAGCGTCTTTCAACTTGCAGCCCCAATGGATACAGTTTTTTTCGCTAACAGTCCACCTCAACAAATTTAGGTCAATGATTGTCAAAAATCAATGATTGTTGATGGTAAGATTTTAAAGGAGAAACTAACGGTTAATTTTCTGGTAGTCATCATTCTATGATCTCATTTCAGCTTTCTTGCTACAGAATTTAGATTTGGAGCCAACTCTTATGAAAACCAAAAATAAATTTCAAAAAAAAAAAAAAAAAAAAAAAAAAACGCTGACTATGAAAATTGAAAGATAAAACACAAGAATGATCAGGTTTGTTCAATTCAAGTGTGCCAAAAAGAGCAGACTTAAAGTTGAAGGAAAATTAATGCATAAAATAGCCTCAAGAAATAACTTACCTAATTGGTGATCTACTTCTAGATCTACGCCAAGAGGAACTAGTTTGATGTTTAGACTTCTTTTCCCTTTCTGGCCTTTCAACGATTACAGTTCTTCGTAACCGCTTATCAGCCTCTATCATTCTCTCTCTTTCTTTGAAGTCTCTGCTATGATTCCTTCTCTTCCGTTTCCTGTGGAGTGAAACATTAGATGGTAAATTGCGCAAAGGACAAACCACAAGTCTTGTTCCCAACTTCTCTATGGGTAAACACAAAAAAGCTAGCGAAATGCCAATTTAAAAGCTTAGAGCTCATTTCATCAGCTCTTTTACGCGAAACTGTGGTGCAAATTTGGTTTGAAACCCTTTACTGTTTGGCAATTTTAAGAAGAGTGCTTGAACCGCCTGTCAAATTTTAAGGTAATATTTTGAGATTGTGAAAAACGAAACAATCAATTCAGAGGGCTAAAAGAAAAGAGATAGGAAATCCAATCTGAATTAAAACAAACAGAGGCAGCGAGAAAGCGATAAAAATTCCATAAACTTGGCAACAGTAAATGAAACAATGCAACGTTTCTATGGAGACCAACAGAATTTGTTGAATCTTTAGGGGTCAGGGTTAACAGACCTCTACTTCAGTGCAGGGAGCAATAAGGAACTAAAACACAATGCTGTGCGTTTAAATGGAAAATGGCATTTTGACTTTGCCATAACGTAAAAAACACAGAATGCTGCTGATTATATTCTGAACACTCAGGTAAGAAGACAAGGAAAATACATCTTCAAATATTCATCTTTGAACATTCATTAAAAACAAAGAATTCATTCACAATTTGATTTACAGTGTTTTTCTTGGTTCCAGTACTTAAAAAGGTTTAAAAACTTAAGACAAAATCCCGAATTTGTCACCTAAGAAGAAAAAATTGCAGTTAATCAGCAAGTTCTTAACATAATATAATAATAAGCTCCACAAGGTCACAATAGAGAGCTAATGAAATGAGCCTTAAGCTCATTGAACTTGAGTTCTGCTAGCACTATTTGGACCATGTTTAACAGAAAGGAACCAAGCCACATCAGCTATTGCCAAATTTAATTGGGCAATTTAAGCTTTTACGAGAGAACGTCTGTATGGATTCTTTTGAATATTTTGAGGAATTTGCTTCGTTCTACGGAGAAAATCCACTGAAATTTGCACGAAAATTTGCACAACTGTTCTCATGTAAAAAATTTAATTGCCAAATTAAATTTGGAAATAGCTGATGTGGCTTGGTTCCTTTCTGTTTAACGCGGTCCATTTGTTCACTCATAAAAGGGTTGGTGAGAAAATTTTTTTCACCTCTCTTTAGCATCAATTCATTCATTCATGACTCTTTAAAAGAACAAAAGTTATCCTGTTGACAATAATGATTAAATTCAACAAACTTCCAGAGCTGATGCTGAAAATTTATATTAAAACAAAACAAGTGAAATTTTTTTGAAGTCCAAAATATTTAAAAACAATGTTCTGCCAAGTCAGAGGAGCTAAGACGAATGTAAACTGATATATCAGTGACCTAATCCTCATAAAATCTTAAATAGAAAGAGTGAAAACTAAGTGAACTGACAAGTCGGCATTGATCCATGCAGAAAACTCAAAGAAGGTACCCAATGTTCTACTTTAAGAGAAAGAAAAAACAAAAATACCTGTGGCTGGGTGGAGGAGTGATACTTCTCATTTGAGGCGAATGTAACCTGACTGACCGAGAAGGACTGTTAGAAGTTGGCCACCTGCACAGATTGAACAAACCCTAGTTAATAAATTCGAAGAACAGTGATAATTTCTTTACTTGTTCTGATTTGTAAGGAAAAATGACAGGAATCACCCTCAATTTTCAATTATTGTCTAATTTTTTTTTCATTCATTTTGATCCACATTCAAGTTCAAACAACCCCAAGTGTCGCGACAGTGATGGTATAATTTAAAACAGAAATCACTAAAACAATCGAACTGTGTCATGAACATGAACAAGAGGATTTTTCGTAAACAATACATTAAATTAAAAGTGGGTGGTCCAAAAACAAATGCACATAGATTACCTAAGCTAAATACATGGAGGTTAAGGTAATAATAATAATAAAGATTCAACGTACTTAAATGTTTCTTCTCTTTCAAAACTTGGAGATCTTCTATGCTTCAACTTCTCATGTCTTGAGCTACTGACATGATCCAAAACTTCTTCAACGGGTGGAGAAGGAGTTGCTTTCCTTGAACTATCACAGCTACTTGACTTCGGTGGAAACGGAGGAGTGTGTGGTGAAACTGACCGCATCCGCATATCTCGCTCATTATTTACTTTTTCATCGCTTCGTAAACCAGGATATGGACTAGCAGGAGATCTGGACCCAGAATAGGACTTTTCATCTGAGATTTCTTTCACTCTGACAACAGGCCAATGGTCATCATTTCTTGATGAATAATAACTTCTGTCACTTGAATGCAAAGCTTCATTAGTGATTGAGACAGATATTTTTGGCTCGTTGATTATCTTGTCATTTGAATTATCACTCTCACTACTAACTAGGCTTCGACTGGCACTGCGTCTTTTATGCTTTTTCTTTTTTTTCTTCTTACTAGATGTTGGACTGGTTCCATTTTTCTTTTCAGCATCCTTTTTCTTCTCTTTGTGTTTCCTATGTTTTTCACTCTTAGAGTGAAATTCATCATTGCGAGATGGAGACCTGACCATCTGTTTTGGAGAGACTTCCCTGTCATTAATTTCTTTCCAATGGTCAGAATTAGTAGATTTCTCTTCAGAATAATTGTAGGGTGAGGTGGATCTACTTAAATGTGCCGGGACAGGAGAGCGCTCAACATTCTTCCTGAATTTTTCAACTTCTTGAATGGCTCTAAATTCATGCTTACGGGAGCCGCCATCTTTTCTTTCTTCTTTACTAAAGCTATCCTCACTTTGTATCTCACCAGCCTCAGGACTTGAGAGCTCTTCAGAGCTGACGTCAGAATATTCCACTAACTTGACGGAAGAGAGGGCATTTTCCGCTTTCTTGTCTTTGGAATGCCTGTGACTTTTATGAGACTTTTTGGATTTACTTTTTTTACTCTTGCGTTTTTTCCCATCCATTTCATCGAGTTCTGAAACTTGATGCTTTTTCAGTTCATGCTCCTAACTGTTGTTGATGGTGATCTCATAAAAACCTGCAACACAAAAAGAAAAGGATTAGGTTACCAAACTTGCGTTTTACCATTGTATGCATAAAAAAAAAGTGTGAAGAAATAAGATACGATTTCATTACAATACGGAATACAAAGTAAAGTGAAAAAATTAATTAAACTTAATAAAAAGGGGTTAAAAATTAATAGCAGCCAATGAGCAGCAATTGAGTAAGTCCACCCTGTTATATGTACATAAAATTGGATTAAGTTTACTAATACTACACTAAAAAAAAAAGTCTTGAGTACTAAATGTCCACCTGAAACTTTGACGTTTATGATGGCCTCTGAAAAAACCCAAGGTTTTCAAAACGCAACACACTAACCTACATAGAAACAATTATGGCTTGGGCCAAGTGCAGTCAGTCACATCTGATTCGTCTTTTTATCCCCTGCAACAGATTTTAAGTTGATGGGAGAAAGCAGAACAAATTCGAAAAGGACAAGACAACTTCAAACGCAAGTCCAAGTAGTGCACAGCCTGCAGAAAGTCAATAGAGTTTACGCCACAAAAGTTTACGCATTTCTAGACTGCGGAAGATCATCTGACGTTACTTTTAAATGTAAAGTGAATGGAAGGATCAAGATGGCTGATCTTCTGCTGCAGTCTAAAAGTGCATAAACTTATTTGGCGTAGACCCTAGCTTGCTCAGTTAAGGTAAGTAGGTACTTAATGCAAAAATAGAAGTGTAGAAATGGAAACTTGAAGAAATAACAGTATAGCAAATTATGGGACATTAAAGATAGAAGGCTATGTGAACCTAAAAAATCAGTATTCTTGAAGAGTTCTCAGTCGCTAGAATTTTACGCCCAACATACGATTGTAGAGAGAGGTTAGGATATCTGAAAAAGTCTAGCGGTGGAGGGTAGTCTTCCTCTGATGAACTCAGCAATTCTGATGATAGTGAGCATCTTGTCAGTGTCTCAGACTGATCAAAATTCGTAATTTCATGTCAGAGCTTAGCTAAAGCTTGAATTATGTGGCAGAGGACCAGGGCCAAGGACTGAATTCCAGTATCAGGTCTGAGAGGATAGATGAAAAAAAATGTCTGACCAACGATCAAGGCCAAGCATGAGAAGGATAAATTGAGAAAAATTAGGGTACTCACTGAAGATTCCCGAAGAGGTTCAACACTTGTAAGACACTTTCCACCTGTAGTAACGATTTAGAATCTTTTCCATCCGACACAGAGAAATAATTCACGAATTTATACCACGTCCTTCACGTTGTAAAGCAGATTCATACTTGGCGAGATTGAATGATAACAACAAGACTACGCTTGATCTTTCATCATAGGCCGGCAAATTCTTGTTAATATTCTTATTTCGACTAAAATAATTTAATTATGATAGCGTAAATGAATTTATCATGAGCAGGATGTATAAATCATGAAAAATTTGATAAACTAGAAGCAGCCACTACAAATGAAGTGAATCGAGATTTGGACGAGCAGCCATCTTGTAGATTGTCTGTGACGTAGGAAAAAACACGGATTGGCGCGCTATTCAAAAAAGCACATTTCATGATGAAAGCTGTATCATGGGAATGACCTAGATGTAACATTGAAAGTCGCATAATTGTGCATTAATTATCAAGACTCTCAATTTCTGCTGTTTTTAAATGTACAGGACGTAGTTTAATATCCATGTCTCTTTAATACCCACCCTACAAGATTTACCCACCGCTAGGTAGGCAGGAGTATGGGTTCTTTAAAAGGTTCGAACAGTAGGGAGGGCGGAAATGAACTTCTGAATGAAATACCTATTAAAAAGTACTTTTAACACAGATAAAAGGGAAATTAGAATATATAGATAGTGTCATGTCATTTGTAATTTATCCATTTAATCGATATTTATGGTAAGCTTTTATATCTTGTTTAGGAGTTGATTTTCGGACTTGCCATGATGTGATTCATTTTTCTCAAGAAATTTTGAAGAGAAACTATGTTAGGTAGTGCTTTAATTCATACATTGTCTGAGAGCCCATTGGATGGCATTCATGAAAAAAGGAACATTTATAGGCATATTCATAGGGTAATTTAACTAACAGCGAAAATCTACAGAGCATGTAATTTGCTCCTGATATAAGGCAAAAAAGTTGGTTCCTGAATGATGAACGCCACGAAATGAGGCTTAGGTTTAATTTGCAATGCAGAGCACAGCTAGCACAAATCACCTTTACACGAAATTGGACGACCCAAATTTTCATCATGTTCCTCAGACTTAACATCAACCCATGAACCTTCATTTTGAAAAAAGATTGAATGAAAACATCAAGACAAAAATTGAAGTATAAAAATTTAATTAAATTTTGCTAGCCAAATTTGTCCGAAATATATTTTAACCAGTTATCACAAAAAGCTCTTAAAATCTACCATTATGTTATGGACAGTTCAAAATTGGAATCTAACTCCTGCACTTTAGAGTACCTACTGCACTTGAGATAAAAACAATTTTAATCTCACTCACGATTCAAAGTCAACACACAATATAAAATGAAGCACTACACTGTGTCTACAGAAACATTATGCAACATTTTTCTTTTACAAAATTAAAAAATAATTTACACAATGATAATTTCTTGGAATAATTCTGATGCAAGAATTTAACGTTTTCGGACCATGAATTAAAATATCTACGTAATGAAAAAACCAAATTCAACTCTTGTCAAATGGCGAACTTAACAAATGTTTAGATATTTTGCAATCGATGAAATTGTCTGAGAGCTTATTTCTCTCAAATCATTAATCAGAGCATTCTACATCATGTAAAACACACAAGATCACTAAAACTCAAGAGAGGTCACTTGCAAAACAGATAAGTTCATTCTTAATAGTCATTTTAACTCATTGGAGTTAGGTCTTCTACTGGGCTGGACCATGAGAGAAAGAGAGTCTCTTTCTTTCATGGCTGGACTTTGTAATTTGTCAAAAGCCATGCTGACTAAGAAAATGAATTTCTTGCTTCAGAGTTGACCTGACAAATTTCTATTGTGCAAATCTTCACAGACCCAACATTTAAATAAAAGAATAAATAATGAATCAATTAAACTCAGCCTGTTGCTACTTGTCAGTTAAACGCAGTTTGTCATAAGGTCCATTCAGATAACTGTGTACACATTCCCCACTTCTTTTCTAATTAACTTCATAGGTTGAAAAACTACTCGCAGTTACTGGGTTAACATTCCTAACACATAACTTCACTTCATAAAATTTAATTGAAATCACAATATTTTATGTCTTGTAATTTACCTTGATAGATTACCTTTATAATTAATTCTTGGGAGAAAAAAAACCAAGCAACATTATTTTCACTTTAATTGTGAGAAAATCATGCGAGATTGAGTCAGTCGATAGCAGTAAGAGAAATCACCATCGAGTGTTGCGAATGAAATAATTTGAATTGAGGATTTTGGAATGAGGAGATGCAACCTAAAAGTTTGACAAGAAAAGTTGCTTTTTCAGTTTCTTACAGCAGAAAAAAATTTTACTTCACCTAGCTGTTGTTCACACTAAAAAGTGCGAACCTGTGACTGGAATGCAGCAATCAGATTCATCTTTGATTTAACTTTAACACTTAAAATGAGTAGAGCTTAAAAAAAGAAAAAAAAATCCCTTTTGATCCAGGACCTTCCTATTTGTCGGATGACACTTATTTGTCCTTTATCAAACTTGAAGTAAAAGACGTAATTACATAGTTGTATTTTGATAATCTATTATCTGAAATAATAAAAAATGCTACCCCAGAATAGAAAGTTGTGCTTGGAAAGAGTAGACTCAATGGACCACCATACAAGGTACGAATTTAAACATTCTGATACATGTATCCTCTTACAAACTGCACTTAGATTGCAATTTAAGCAATAAAAGTTAATGGAAATAACTTGCAACCAAGATAATAAGGTTCCCATTTAGCGTTGGTCATAAAAAATGAGAATTTCCTGCTCACATCAAAAATCTGACTCTACTTGAATCAAATACACTACAACGGTTTTGGCAAGCATCTCGATATGCAAAATTTCTTCCCCACCCTATGTACTCCAAAATATGAACAACTTGCATTAGCTAGACTGAAATGCCGATATTGAGGTTGTCACATTTTCATACTGCAAAGACTATTACAGCAGCGTTTAGAGTACAATTTAACTCAAGTAGATTATTTGTTCTTTTTTTTCATTCTTTTTTTAAGAGCAGGAAGTTTGAATTAAATTAATGCTCCAAAAAACGGTAATACCTGGGTAAGAAGTTACTTCTAGTGACTTTTGTTATACAAATAGTGTTCTACATAAACCTTGTCAAATGGTCCATTGTTATAAATTTGCAATTTGTTAAAAACTGTCGATGCAGTCAAATAGCAGTAAAAATTGAGGTCGTGAAAAGTTAGTTCAACCCTAGGATTTGAGAACTATGACATTGTAACATAGACATTTATAAAAACAGTATTTATCTTAGACTGGCAGGATGTAAAATCATGGATACCCTGAGAGATAACAAATTATACTAAATATAACAACAAAAAAATTACAATAACCAAAAAATATGAATAAAATATAAATAAAATTTGCTCAATATTCATAAGAGTATTAAGTAAAAGAGTTTCAAAAATATTAATCACTACGAATTTGAACGTACTTGATCTGTGGCTGCCTGCATAGGTGTGATAGGTACTGAATGATGGACACAAGAAAACAAATTGTAAAGAAAAACAGGTATGAGAAAAGGTGAAGCAGTCTGGATGGAAGAGTGAGTAGGGAGTAATGAATTACGTTCCTTTGAGTATCTGAAACAGATGAAATAATACTTAGTGTACGATAAAGATAAAAAAATTTGCAAGAGTTAAATGCTGAACCTGAGCAGCAATCATACTTAAAAAGGACCACCACTATCACTAGCATAGGCATCAGTTTTGGTTGCGCACAACAGCTGCCCATCAGCTTTGTTTGGAGGTAAATGGCCAACATTTAGAAAATGACAGAAGTCACATTAGCGGATGGGGCATCCTTCTAAAAGCAAGGTAAATACTTTGCGTTATAGTTTTCACTTAACAATGAACTTAAGATTCAATTATAGAGTTGTAAACTGAAAAATTCTCAAATCCTGGAGGTCTAATCAATGCCACGTTATTTTCAAAAAGTTAACCCTACTCCATAAAATTTTGTTAATAGATGCTTTTAGTAATAAAAGTATACAACAAAGATTTTGGAGTTTTATGGAATAAAACCTTGCAAGATTAAACAAGATACTGATATCACTACATCAATGAAGCTTGATTTATGACTTATATTTTTCATTCCAGATATATTTTTGTGTAAATGTTTTCTGATGAGATTTTATTTCATCCAAAGATTGAGATAGGAGGCCCAGAAAAGGTTTGATAAGTATACTGATGACAAATTAATTTAGATATATCAGTCAGTCTACATTAATGGTTGGTTCCTGAAGAAAAAATGAATTCAACATTATAATTAGAATTGATCCTTCAATTTTACCTGTGAAATTTGCGCTAAAGATATACTTACACTATCAAAAACAGGATTACCTTGCTGTCAATCTGTTGTTAGAATTAAAGTGAAGGTAAAATTATATATTTACCTATGTATGCTGTAGCATATGCCATGAAGTTGCTTCCCATGCGATAGGAACATGTTGGAATGATTATTTCATTGACGGTATCCCTAGATGGGGGGAAAAAAATCCAAGACGGATGATGCCCTGCAAATCTGTTAGAGACCAATGGCTGTATGAAACTTCTCTCTCCAGTTTTTGTATTTCCCACTAGATGCACCGATTTGTGATCATGAGCGGAGAAAATGAAATCTGGTTTCAGTTCATTTAACGCCTAAAAGATGAAAAAAGAACATTTGATAATGACCACCACATAAAAGTAATTATGATGAGTGAAAACTAGAAGATCTAGGCTCTTTTGCAAGTCATTAGTGCTAATGCAAGCTGTTTCATGCTTATTTTCATTTATTTCAGCTTCAGCCTATTTTATCGAGCACATATATCTTTGATAAAGGGAATGGCAACCCTAAAATTGAAAATGAGATATAGTACTAAAAATTGAAGGCGGAAGATATAAGACGGAAAATGGCTCTGTCACGAATGAAAAATTTGCAAAATTGGCAGAGATACGAAAGATTGTAAGTCTGACTGGTGACGTCATGCACTCCTAGTGCGACTGTGGTTTACTTGCACACAACTCGAAGTCTGGCGTATTTGTTGTCTGACGCCGTGAAATTGCCTTAATAGTCACACCCAAGCAAAGAAAAAAGAGTCGGCCAGGAACAAGCGAGATCAAGGCGAACTAATAACTTGTTGCAAACACGCGTCAGTCACTTGACAACGGAGACAGAATGCAGAGTGCAGACTGCGAAATGCGAGACTGAGCTCATGGCGTCATGCGCTCAGCTGTTTTTCCGTGATAGCGGCTCAACAATGCAGATATTCGCAAACAGATTTCCGCATCGTTCATTGCAAACTTTTCTCGTCGATTTAACCAAACTTGTTTTTAAGGTTGCCGCCCCCTTTAAGTGTTCTGCTGTTGCACTGATAAAGTGCGTTTCAAGGGTAGGGTGACTTTGGTTCCTCATGGAGGACTTTAGCCAGGCTATTTTACAACAATGTTACTCGAGGAGGGAGTAAGGCATTGAATAGTTTGGCTATGAAAAATCTAGTATCTGGAGTTTTGTCTCTTTTACAGGTACTGGTAGTTCTGCTATAATTTTGGGCAGTATCGTTCTCTAGTGGTAACTTTGAAGAGATTGTAAGTTTTCTGAACAAAAATAGTTCTCTTTGCATGCCGGAGTAAAAAATAATGGCTGACAGACCATAAATCAATACCAACTTTTAGACCAAAGAAATTTTTCCGCCTACTATTTATCAAAAATATTAACTCTCATACTGATTAATTGAAAATTTTACTTTAAAACTCTTTAATTCATTGACTAATAATATATGCATTGAAAATAAGAAGAATTCACCTCATAGGAGAATGTTCCTGGAATGCCTAGAAGAGGTATGTGAGATAGAACGAAACGCAACCAATTTTCTTTTTTTTCTTGCGGGACATCAGGGTATGTTCTGAGCATTTTATTCACCTAATAAAACATAAATAAAACGGTCATCATAGTCTGTAGGCTTGAAAAAATTAGCCTCAAAATCAAATAAAAAGAGGGACATTGAATGGAGGTTTACATGGACGAAAAGGAAACACTATAAAAATCAAGGGAATGAAGCCAGATGCTTCCATTAAAGGGAGGAGCAGAACTTACAAATGAGCAGTCCTGGATCAAAGCCATAACTAAGAAGGGTAAGGACAAGTGAAATAACTACCGCTTTTAAGTGAAATAACTACCGCTTTTAAGTGAAATAACCTTCAGTTACTGGAACAATAAGCAAAGTTTATGGAAGAATATTGAGTAAAAAGCAAAGTTCTAGGAGGGAATGGGAAGATGATAGAGCAGAGAAGCATCTCAGATTAGGAGCTAGTTTGTCTACCCGATAATTACCTTTTTCTTGAGGGGTTTTGAATGGAAATGTGGAATGAGCTGAGTTTACATTATTTCTTGCAATTTTTTAACCAAATAGGAGACTAAATACGAACATACATACATTTACTACATATGAATTTATTAAGTGACAAAATGCTCCTCCAAGTGACATCTTAGAGCAGCATTTCCTATAAGTATAAATAATTTAGCAGATGTGATAATGCTGCTGTATTTTTTTAAATATATGTGAGATGTAATGATATCCTTCAAAAATTAAGGCCATCAAGGCCATCATTCTGCTCAGCTCACTCAATGTTTTTCATTTTGAAATGAAATGTATTAAAATTCAGACACCTGCAAATTATACATTTGTTCATGAATAAATACAAAGCACTACTTTACTTTTATAAGTTTAGAAGGAGAGCGTGGAATCAGTTTGGGATTACGCTCTTTGTTTTCAATCCTCTTTCTAGGTTCTTTAAAACATAATTTACCTTGATAAACTCCAAATGGCTGTAGGAAAAGTCGGTGATGGAACCAAAATGTTTCTTATACCTTTCAACTTTTATTTTGGTAATTGGTTCATCTTCCCCTCCAATATCATTATCTCCAGGGAGAAATATAGTCTGTAAAAAAATTTAGAGTGATAATTTATTGCAGAAATACTACAATTTAGCAAACATTTATTAATTGCCTAAATCAAAATTTAAAATCAAGAATTGAGTAAAAATATCATTATTTATAATTTTTTCTCAACCATGAGATAGACACACTTAAGAAAAAACCCTAAAATTTTGAAAACTGTTGGAAAACTGCCAGAAAATATACAAATACAATAACTACATGCAAATTGCTTGAACATTTTAACATAATTCACTGTCTTGGTTCTGAGAGATGGAGTTATAGAATGATTCTTGCACAGATTATAAATTACATCATCTCAAAATGTTAACAAATCAAATTTGAGAGCTAACCTGATTTGGCTGAAAGGAGGAGAGGCTGAAAATTTTTTTGAATCTGGCTAGATAACGCTCATATTCAGCAGCAGTGGCTCTGCTTCCTTCGTCCATTAGGTCGCCCAGAAATACAATTATGTCAGGCTCTGCATAAGATTTTGCAACCATAAATGTTCTATGTAAGTACCTGAAAAAGATACCATACTTAGTGTTATAAATTCAACGCATCAATCTGTCATTCAAGCAATGCTCTTTACCACTTGTTGGAGAGATTTTTTTTCTTGGTAAGGGTACTAGATACATAACAAAAAATTCTTGATGGCATATTGGAACTCAAAGATCACACTATTCAGTCGCATTCCAGCACCCTGATGACAACATGCTCGTAATTTAGCAAGGTGGGTGGGGTGGACTGGGAAATACAAAGACGGGTTGCGGGTAGTGAGGAGAGGGGAGGCATAAAACTCATCCAATTAAATTGGCAAGTTAAGCATCCCATGATGATGTAACAGACAAAGCAATCAAGTTTTTTCGATGCAGTTATCACCAAACATCATTAAAAAATGTATCATTTCACAATTTGTGAATGATTGCGAGTCATCCTCGAATTAAAGAAACGTAGTTGTCAATTCTTGATTTTTAAAGCGCAATATTTTTTTGGAAAAATTTAATTTCCAGATTTGATTGAAAAGTTTCTTTACATTCTACATAACTACAGGATCAAATGACAGCGCTTTGATTAGGAAATTGTTGGAAGCAAAAAAACAACATTTCAATCAGTGATAGAACGCATTAGGTCACTCAGCTCCCCTACAGCAAACGCAGATGATAGAAAAGAAAAACGCAGACCAGCATATCGAAATAGACTTGGTAGATTGAGACACAGTCCTATTAGATTATAGCGTTTTTGAAGGCGATTAAAAGTGGAGTATTGCTAGCAGAAAAACATTACTTTGAAAAATGCTACGAAAAGAAACAACTGGCCAGGACTTTGAAAAATGAACATTGTTTCTGAAAAAATGTTAAGACAAGATACGACTGGAATAAGTAATAAGTCAGTGCCACAAATCTTACCTATCACAGTCCCATCGGGCAAATGCTGTTTCATCAATCTCCCCCAGAATCTGTGGGTCAGCCACAAATAATACTTTCAGACATGGATGCGTGTGACCACATTTTAGTGTAGGCCATCTGAGTGGTAAAAAAGCATATGCCATCCATTCATTGAAAACAATGAGTGCAAAACCAAGTGAAAACAGGACATACCATGGGTTCAACCTGAAATTTAAAGAATTCGCTCATGAAATTGAAAAGGATTGCTATCTGCCATCAATGCATGAAGAAAAAAAATGTAAGTAATTGCATTCTGAACATCTTGGGAAGAGGTGAGTGATGTAGTGGCAGTGTTCTTAGTACTTGGGAAGTAGCATGGGAACTAGTGTGCGAATCCTTAGATTTTTCCTGAAAATTGTATAAAATTAATTGATCAGAATTACCAAATCCATAGAAGACAACTTTTGGAGCAAAAGAATCGGTTTGTGAATAGCTTCTTGAACAGGAAATAACAGCCATTTCTGAAAAAGAAGAAATAAATAAATGAATAGGTTGGTAAGTATCCATCTTATTAAAAAGTTAGGGATTGAATGAAAAGAAAGTAGGGCCCTGCAATGAAAGTATTACCTCGCAACATTCCGATTACCATTCTTAATCTTAAATTAAGTCACAATAGAGAAGTTTGCGCACATTTTGAATGCAACAGAGGGTCAGCTGCCGCTAGTTTAACGGTGAAAGAAAATACAAAAATCTAGTTTGTAGATCCTCTGTCACATTCTGAACAAGCGTAAATTTACTTGTCGGGACTTGGCCATGGTCGCCCGATAACCATGTCTGATTCATTCATCCTCGTGTTGGTTTTTCATTAAAGGCTTTGGGAGATTACATATTCTTGAACTGACTTAGCTGCGACTTGTTCAGCCTGAATTGTCATCAAAAGTTTCAGTAGTTTGCTGCATACCGTGATAGTTCAAGACCAAAATATCAAAGAGGCTGCGAAGTGAACTTACTTCAAAAGAAGTTTGGAAACCATCACATACTTGTTACAGATATAACGTTGCTCATTTAAATCAAATCAAATTAACTGAAATACTCGATTAATTTAAAATTTAACGAGATTACTATCGAGAACAATTAAACTTTCGTCGCCGAAAAACCTGACCAGCGACCACAATCACTATTATCACTATCAGCAAAATCAAAATATTTACAAACAAATGGCAAAAGAGGCGGCCATGATGGATGATGCGTCACCAGGCAGATATGACGTCACAACGTGAAAATTTTTCTAAAAATTTCAAATTTTCCGTGAGAGATTATCCTAATACTTCCACAGGAAGAAATTCTCTCAAATTTTAAATGCGAGAATATCGATTACAGAATTGAAAATAATTTCCTAAGGGGATAAAAAAAAAGAAGAAATCTTCACCCAACTTCCTGATTACGTCATCAGTTCGCATTGCGTATCCGCATTCAAAATGTAAACAAAGAAACGAGCAGCAGAAGCAGACTGGTGGGTGCCGAGTTTATTATCAGTGGTATATCGCATATTTAAATTATCACGTTACTTGATAACGATTTATCTCGTGGCAGGTGTCATCTATCTGGGGAACCGGCAGTGATCGTGCTTTCCGATCGACCAGTAAGTAAAAGTATTTGATCTTCCATCACCCTCAACGTCGTCCGCAATCCGTCGCTTCGGGCCATTAATTGGATTACGCGAATGCCGCACGCGGGATGAGTCAGGCTGAACACTGAGAGACTGATTATCATCCGCTCCTTTCATCAGTGGTGCAATCGTAGTTGTCACGGCAGGCACATATCACTTATCAATTGCTCACGCTCTGGAACCTCACCAATCGCCCTATCTAATCTTCCTAGGACTCCTCATTCGTGGATCTTATTTACTCAGGTAAGGAATAACTCAAATATCTTATTTAAATTAGTGAAACCTCCCCTCTGATTATTCCCAACCGTAATTGTATCCTTCAGAGTGCATACTTTCCACTATTACCCAGCCGTCTTGACAAGATTGATGGACCAGCTTCAGAGACCGGGTTCTCCTCATGTTGCTTTCCATTGTTCATTTGCGGACCCTCCGCATGTCACCCACATTTCCTTCGTCCTCAATTTAAAGTCAGCTCTAATCAAATAAGTTTCATTTGAGGTGTTCAGAAAGCTTTTGTCTTCCAAACCCTCTTTACTTACTATTTTTTTCCATGTGCTCTTATCTTGCTCCAATGGCTGGATCACCGTGGCATTCTACATCACATGCTGCATACCTATCTTGCTCTAAGCCTATGCACTAACTTCTCCAGTCGCATGTTTGTAACTGAAGGAGTTTTTCCAGATAGTTTCCGCAATAGCACCTTTCTTCCTTCTCATGGTACAATAAAAGTTTCCTGTGATCATCGAATTCCCAGACCAGTTCTTATCAGTCTTTTTCTCCATTGTTCTAGAACCACCAAACTGTCAGAACAACCCACAATACTGTTTATTTTTCCTTGCCATGTTGTATTTACTTTCACCGTAGTTACCTACCTATGCACTTGCTGCTTGTAATCATTTCTGCAAATGCAATTGCTTGCCGCAAAAGCTGAAGAACATTTATATACTGAGGCTTATGGTTTTTGAACTAATAAGGATTTGAGATTACAAGTGACTTTAGCGCCAACATTGCGTTCTCACCAACATAGTCAGCAGACTTTTTTCACAGTGTGACAGATTTGAAGATTTGCCATCTTTTACCTTTTTTTATTGAAACTGATTGTGAGCAAGTACAAGATCAATATACCTAATGGATCTTTCATCGCACCCTTGAAGTCAGCCAGACCTTCTGGTAATTGATATCTAGGTATTTCAAAAAATTATCTAAGTGGCGCACTTACTTATTATTTTAATCAGTGCACACTTGTATCTTTTTCTTAGCTTTGTCAGCTTTGAGTTGAATATCCTAGTTTTAGTGCTTCTGAGAATTTGAATTCACAACATTTTTTCCCCTTGTTTTATTCTCATCAGGGGTGTATCTTTAATCCGCTGGACTATCAAACAATTAAGTCAAAAACCTTTTTGTATTTCTAAAAAAGTTGTCTTTACTTGTTTTGATATTTTCATTATTGCAAGTTCCATTAAAGCTCATAATAGAATAGTAACTCTTGAAAATGAAAAAACAAACAAACAGAATTACCTAAGTAAGCACAATAGCTCAAACACAAAGATGTTGCCTACAATATTTTGGCCAGGGCTGCAGACAATTTTTTTGAAATGTTGAGTCTAGTGCATGGTTGAAAGTGTCCCTACATTCTTTGGAGAGTATGAAAAAGTTTCAGAAAATGAAGGAGAAAGTATTGAAACAATTTTGTTTTAAATTTGAGAATATTTGAAACAGTTGATGTTGACATTTTCAATTGGTTTAATATTTTCAACAGGGAAACAACTGAAAAGCTTTCATGTACCCAGAAAAAATTTGAAGGAAAAAATGATGTAAATTTTATATTGGCATTTCACAGTAGCTATCATACTTTTTTCAAAGCTTGAGCTTTGTCTGCAATTTCTGTTTTAATGCAAGATAATTGGATCTCTCCAAAGTAGGCAACCACTTAGGTAATTACCTCCAGTAGCTTGCATGCAAACTTGAGTGCAGTCGTTGTTGTGGACTGTCTATCCTGTTGCCTAGTCATGCAAGTTTTTATGTGAATGCATTCAGTGACATAAGTAGTCTGCCTCCTGGAAGACTGTAGTGGATATAGCCATGCCTCCCGCTCATCGGTTTTTGAATTCTCAAGAGTAGAGGCTCAATGTTTCAAATATTCCTAAGAGAGTGGAGTATGATGATTTCAAAGGCGTCTTTAGGGATCAGAGCAAAAACGGATCGAAACACCTCGAATGGGGTGGGCAGAAGGGGGGGGGGTCTGGAAGCCTCCCCCAACAAATTTTTTAATTTGTAGGGCACCTAATATTTGGGTCAGTTTCGTCTAAAATAATTACCAAATGTAAGCGTCTTTCCTTTTTTCCTTTTTTTTCTTCCTCCTTTTTTCCCCTTCTTTTTTCGGGCGAACGGGGGACATACCCCCTCCCTCTTTAGATCCGCTTATGGACTAGGGTGGGTCATGCCCCAAGAAAATTTTCAAATCGGATCAGTGTTCGAAACTCACAGGCTCCAACGCGCCAAATGCGCCGAAGAAATCGGTCATGGTGCCTAAAAATGAAAGTTCTGCGCCAACGTGGCCCCTCAAAAGTGCCTCCTCCCCCCCAAAAAAATTCTAATTTTTCTTTTTGATGATTTTTCGAAAGTTACAAGTTACAGCTACTAGTTCTCTAACTAAAACATCTTGCGTCCAATTTTTCATTAAATGCGCCGTGATATATTGGCTTAAAGGCAATTTGGCCCCTAAAAAATCTTCAATGGCCCCCAAAAATTGAGCTTGATGGGCTACATGGCTCATGAAACTCTGAGGTAAGCTCCGAACTGAATCGGCGGATGTAAATCTACTTGTCAAGTTTCTAAGAGGCATTTAAAATGGTTTTTTAACCATCCAATACCATCCTTCATCCAAAAAAACAGAGAAAAAGTGTCTATTTCTGTCCATTAGAGATGCCTTTGCCCCCCTCCCCCTCAAATTTCCGGCTCGTCGGGGCATCATGATGTAAGCACGTGATTACCTAGCCCTAGAGAGCCCAGAAGTAACGTAAGCTGTGCCGTGTACATTCCGCAATGAACCTTGCAGCTTTGTCAGAGGTGGCCCAGCCGCACGTATTTTTCGTAAATTAGGCAATGTCCCGCGTGCAGAATGCGCTTTGAATTTTTCCTCCTAATGACGTTTCAAAAGCTGAAAGCGCGAAGGTTATGTCGGATGACTCAGCAACTTTACTTTTACTAGGATGATCAACGTTATGGTCATCCGTACGCCAGTGGCGTGCGGTCCGGATAAGCAAGGCAAGCACTGCTTGCCCAAAGATTTCAAAAGAAAGAAGAAAATTACACCTGTTACATGCATTTTTTACATTTTAGCAAATATAATTTATAAAAAGTGTTCAGTATGTAAATTGCATTGAAAACAGAAAGAGAGAGAGAGACAGAAATACGTAGAGAGAGCGGATGGAGGTGGCGCAGCGCGCTGCGCGGCCTAAACACGGGCCGACTCATGCGCTGGAGAATCGCTTGCGATCAGCTGAGCGGAGAGCCACTGCTCGGCGGCGGAATCAAGGCGGGCGGGTAGGGCGGTACGTTCCGAGTCCGAGCCCTTCGCTGCGCGATCGCAGCTCGCTTCTCTTGGCCATGTCTTGGCCCGTCACCACACCGCAGCGCGCTGCTTCTGCCTCCGATGCGCTATCTTGCTCCCTCTTTCCGTCGCGGTTGTAG